GGCGTCTAATTCCATGGGTGTGGTGCCGTAATCGTTGCGTTTGTTTGACCCTTTGTATTGGTTTGCTTTCCAGAAAGTGTTCTTCCCTTGTTGTATGTTTCGTAGGTTGTAGAGTTGATTGTCAATGCGTACTGCCATCTCAACCATTCGTTCGAAACTGTTGTATGGTCCCATCTTGATGGTTTCGTATTGGGTTTCTGGTTTTAGTCCTTGTTCGAATATAGCCATTTTCTGCTCGTCGTCGTGGATTCCTAGTTCTTGACAGATTTGCTGTAGTTGCGCTGCGTACTGTGCTGCGTCCCTGGTTTGTCTGAGTCCCTGTAGTTTGCGTTGTAGGGTTCTCTTTTTGTCGGTGTCTCCGAAGAATTGTCTGAGTACTTGTTTGAATCATGCGTAGCTGTTGAGTATATCCGCGTATAGTATGGGTTGTCCCCTGGTGTTAGTCTAGTCCTCGAGGTATGGTTTGAACCATGTTGCTGCTGCCTCTCGCATATAGGATCCTGCGAAGATAACTTTTTCTGTATTAGTGACTCCTGGTTTAGTTGCCAGATAGATGTCGCATTCCCCTAGGAAGTGTTCCAGTTTGGCGCGGTCTCCTTTATAAGTATCGGGTTCGTGGATCTTGATAGTAGTTCTCTTATCTCCGGTTCTGACTCTGAGTACGTCGATGGCGTCTTTGTGACTTTTAACTTGTTCTAAAGTCTGTTTGACGATGTCTTTGTATTCGTCAAGTAATCTTCGTTGTTCTTCCACTTGTTTGTTGGTCTCATCCAGCTGCTCATCGTTGGGTTGCTCTTCGACTCTTTTTTCCAACTCGATGATTTTCTGTCGCATTTGCCCTAACAAGGCGTTGGTGTTGGTGGTTGGTCCACTTGCTGATGACATATTGGCTCGTCTTGCTTTGGTATATTCCTGTAGTTAGTATGCTCTCAGGGGTAGGGTGATACGTACCTAGTTTTGTCCTTCTTGATATATAATCGTAAGTCACTCGGGTCGGAGTGTCTATGACAGTATGGTGGCTCTAGTAAGTCGGAATTACTTTTGCCTCTTTGTAACCGTGAAGTCGGGGCTCTATCAAGTTGAAATTGATTATGCCTCTTTGTAACCGTGAAGTCGGGGCGATCAATGTCATAAGCTGACGGCGCTCCTTGATTACCTAAAGGTGATCAGAGGTTCATACCTGCCGTAAGACAGAAGGTACGAAGGTCTTAGGGAAAGCTTGGGTTGGAAGTGAGTTGTTGTAGGAGACGGCTCGGTACCGGGATGAGATAGAATACTATAGTGAGACTATCCCTCAGTTCCAAGTGTGGCTTCAGTCAGTGCCTGGGTTGGATGAAGGCTGAAGGTCCTTGTGAGCAGTGAAGACAAAGTTGACCTGCGTTAATGGGCAAAGGGGTATTTGGTGAATATAGTATAAGATAACTGGAATGGTGCTTTGTATTGAGTAGTATGGTAAAACTGTGGCTGGTTTGATCGCGAGTATAAGACTCTTGATCCTGAGGAAATGAGTGTCTTTATATATATGGTATATCCGGTCCCTTCCTCCTGATTCTCCTCAGGTCCCATTGTGGACCTGATGTCCCGGTCCCTTCGTGGACCTTTCATGTTTGGTCCCATAGGGACCTGTCCCTGGTCTTGGCATCTGGGACCTGTCCTTATGGTCACGTGATGTGTAGTTATTCCGTCCCGGAATCTTGTTGTCCAATGAGTGTATATCCTGGGGCTGCGCCGCAGGTGGTCTGTAACACCTTAGTATATTAAATTAATATATAGCTTTATAAATAGAGATAATTTCTTTATTTTTTAAAGTAAGAATTATAAGTTTAATCTTTCCCTCTATCTCTATAGAGTTTCTATTATTTTTGTTATAAATTGGTAGCATTATCGCATATAGAAGTTGTTAATTAGTTGAAAAGTATACGCGTTTGAATTTGGTGGCCGGCTCGCTTGGGTGGCCGGCTCGCATGTGGATTACGTTAGGCAGTATTCCACTTAGTCAGCATGTTTATATCACGGGACACAGATATAAGATACGGGATGCCCCGTGACTGATGACCTAATACAACCACTTACCTAAGCAAGTAAGGTGACGTCTTTTTAAGATTGCGCTTTATCTGGAGCATATTTACATTGTTGTCTTTCTCCTCCTGCAGCATATTCACAATAAATCAATAAATCTCTCGGGTTTCAAAGAATTATATAGGTTGGTATCTCTCGGTACCCTCTTTAATTGGCGTTGATGGGTGCTAAAAGTTGTCCAGATATCCGTAGCTCCCAGATAAACGCCTTACACGTCACAAAAGGGACATATCACAACCAAGGCGGACTTTAACCGCTATAGACCGAACCAGGACACCACGGTTCTAGCAAGAGACTTGGAATATTGTTGTCCTTATACCAGACTTCTCACCTCCTCGATACCACGTTATCCCTTCCATCCGGCTCAATTATACTTATATCGACTCTTATCTGTGCATTTCTGTGCATTTGTGGGGAAATAAAAACGAGGGCAACTACCCGTCTACTGAAACGACACAAAGGCCACCGCGATACAAAGACAAGTTTATACAACACAAATTCTATAATCCCTTCCGGCCAGCTGAAGGATAATACCTCACGCCGAGGCAGGGAGGGTAACGGCTTCCATGCCGTGAATTGAGACTGGCGTCCACTCTCAAGATCCCTTCCTTTCCTCCTCTCCAACCGCCTCGAAACCGCAGCCGCAATGCTCTCGTCTCCGGCCTCCGCAACCGGAACAACCCTTTCGAACCATCCTTAAATCCAGACTTACTCGCCCAAGCCATATCTAGCCCGTCATTACGGCCAGCCGCATTGTCGTCCTCAAACACACCCTCCCCTGGCCCCTCTCCGGCATCTACCATCATTCCTCCCTCCAATATATCAGACGATATCTCTGTCCCAGGAGACGTGACATCAAACAGGCTGCATCCCCGCGTAGCTGTCATTCTGGGCGTTGATCGTCGGTGGTACATTCCGCTATTAGTATGCCGGGCGCTGAGCATTCTTCCCGCTGCATGGTGGGGACTTCGATGTGCGTTCACATTTCTAGCGGAGCTGCTACGTATCAGTCCACATATATGGCAGGAAGGGTGGACGGCTGTTGTTGTACGAGGGGCTGCGGTGGATTGGAATGTGGATAGGCGCTTCAGAGTCACGGAGGTTGCGTTGGCTATTATGTGGGTACGTATATACTTCCTTCAACCTTGCTTGCATTGTGGTATAAGGTGTAACTAACATTTTTCCCATTAGTGCTCGGCATCGGCTTATCTATCTTATTTTTTTACGGATTGCATGATGTCAAGATGGTAGGCTTCTACCCACTGGTCCATTATACGCAATGTGCGTGAGGAAATGCGGTACAGTTCTAACTGCTTTACAGGCTTGTCAACTACACCCCTCCAGCAGTCATAATCCGCCTCCTCACCATCAACTGTCTAATCGCATACCTTACATCATGGATCCTTTACCTTTCCGGCGCTTCTTCTGATCCTCGGCTTCTTCTCCCAGCGTGGATATCAATAACTTCAGTCCGTCTCTACCCAACATCTAAACTATTCAGCTAACCTGTCTAACCCCCCGTCTTCCTGCAAATAGATCCTTACACTCCTCTACCACCTAACGCAAGGCAAGATAAACATCAAGAAAGAAACCACTGCTTCATTATCAGTCTTCTCTATTGCGAGCTTCATAAGCATGTCGTCACTATTACTACAATTACACCTCTCACGGGAAAACGAGCCAGAGCTACCCCTGTTCGTTATGATACAACAGGCCTGGGATGTTAGTATGCAGTGGATGATTGAGCGAAGAATTGGATCATGAGTGGGTAGTGGGTTTGAGATTTAGCAGTTGTTACTACATATCTTTTCGTATTGGTACATGGATTCAATTATTTCATGCCTCCCTTCCCCCAGCCCTTTTTTCACCTTACATATTCCCCTTATTTCCTTTGTGCCAAAGGCGTTATGATCTTTTTGAACCGTCCGTTTAACCATCGAGCATTTCTTGAATCGAGTGTCTCCCATCCCTCTTTCCGGTCGAGGGTATCTCATTTTACTCTGATAAATCTTCCATGCATATTTTATACATTTCCTTCCAATGATCTATATGCCCTCACCTAATGTCTGCTTCCGATATGAACATAGGTCATTCAAAGACATCACTTCCTCAGCTTCTTCCTACCTACGGACTACAGTGAGATTCTCTCTGCCATCGATATCTGATAGGAGGTTAGAATATGGGAATCGAATATATGCTACGCGGAGTTTGACACTTGAAGGAATAGAAGATCAAAAAAACAAGATAATTTGCATTATTGTGTTTTTCAAAAACTTATTAGCATAACTTCATTACTCTCCATCTCATTCATTCTGGAAAGAAGGAACGAACTAGGTCGCAATAAAGGTAAGGACATAACGAGCGTTGAGCGAGTGCTATGGCCTGCCGTATGCACAAAACATAAGTAATGACATAACAAGCAAGCCAGCACAAGCGAGAGAAATAAAGATACTTGAGAAAAGAAAAAGAAGACTAAAATGGGCAGCCACTCGTGAGATACCTATAAAGCTGATCATGAGTTTCTAACTGTTTTGCGAATGCCCAACGTCCCTGTCCCGTCGTCATCTTCGTTGCTGTCATTAAAAATATTCGGTTTGAAGGAACATCATGACCAACTTCCCCTTTTGGTATGTGGTCGACAGAGGGAAAGGAAGGCCAAGTACGTATCCGGGTATCTTCAAAGGGTGCGTCCAGGTGCGTCTACATAACCTGACGGAGGGCGGCCGGTGGAGTTGTAAGGATAAATCTCAGGTAGAGTGCCATCGCTAAAAACTGTATCGGACCTGCGGGAGTGTACATCCCGCAGGATAGGAGGACGACTGGCACACACGGTAAAGCATGATGAATCCTAGGTACAGGCGCACCCCCGGAGGTGTGGTGTAGGCGGAAGCTGATGACGGGACAGGGATGTGACGCTTCGTTTAGAAACCATGGACCTATAAATCGTTAGTCGGAATGGTCTTGTGTCTTTGTTCGATCTTGTGAGAGTGTGACACATACCTTGATGGTCTTGGCATCAAGTTCAAGTCCCTCCTTCTTGTCGACTAAGAATTCCTGGACATCCTTGCGTTGGTCTCCCTGCAACTGAATAACCTCACCCATCTCGGTGTCGTTCACGATGGTGCCATTGCAAGCTAGCCAGTGTCAGCAGCCATCCGCTATTGTGTTTCCTTTTTTTTTTTTTTTTTTTGGTTTGGGGGCAGAGGGGGATCCTCCATTAAGGCTTGTGCATATGGGTGCCGCGAACATACCGAATTTCTTCTTGATGACCTTGAGGATCTTCTTCTGATCGAACTTCTTGGGAAGACCTTGTACAGTCGTCAAAGTCTTACGACCATTGCGTTCTGGTACACAAAGTCAGCCATGAAACATGCATAACAGATGTGCTGTTATAGGAATGCGATGACGTACGCTGAATCCGTATATGGATGTAATTTTGCGACTGTTTAGTGTCGCCGGTGTCTTCGTCAGCTTCGGCGAAGGGGTCTATGGAGAGGAGCGAGAAAAGCAACAGTTAGTCGATCGCTGTTCCTCCAGTAAGGAGTCTACGTTGCGTTCAAAATTTTTCAAGCCACAAAAACGCGCCTACCCCGCCATTTCCGACTGGGATAAGAGCGAACAGAAGCTGTGAAACGGTGCGAACAAACGGACATCGGATAACTGTTGGGGCCATGCAGCCAGGCGGAATGCAGGGAGGGACAACATACCAAAGGTCTTGAGGTTTTCGATGGACATAAACTCAGCTGTTGACCGAAACTCTTCTAAGATCTGGTTATAGGGTGGGAACGGCGGTGGAAGAGGAAGAACGTAAAGGAACTTCTGTCTTCTCTGGCTGGGCTTAGTTGACGGGCGAGCTTGATATCTGTAGGACTTGGTAGAGCGGCGAGCAGGGCAACGAGACTGGAGGTTGACGATGTTTGACGTTGAGAGGAAGAAGAAGAAGAAGAAGAAGCAAAGGAGGTTTTTCTGAGGGGCCTTTCTCCTTTGGGAGGGCGGCGACAGGTGGCAAAACAGGATGACTCAGCTAGACACGTGATACCATGCCCAAAGAGGAAAGACGTAGACGACATAGATATACACGATACTTATACATGATATAGATATTACTCTGGGATGTCTAGTCTAGAGAGCAGTTACAGCCTCTCGGAGGCGGCCTGACGCTTGAGATCGAGGTACTTGGCAGCAAAGTCGTTGGCCAGCGCCAGGTCGCCCGACTGATACATGACGGTGGCCTTCTTCCCCATCATCTCACACTGGCCCCTGACGTCCTCGATAGACGAGTACTCGACAAAGGCACAGTCGATGAACTCGACTGCCCGGGCAAGGAACTCCTTTCTCCGCACCACATCCTTGCGACTCTCCCCCGCCAGCCCCATGTTCGCATCGGCCAGGTAGGAGTATGTCCGGCCCGCGAGCGCACGGTCTTCGCTCTCCAGAACCTGCGGCATCACGCTCTCCAGCAGCGAGATTGCGGCTGAGAACTCGCGGAAACTCATGAGGATCACGCACAGGGCGCCGACAGCATCCCACAGACCAAGCAGCACCCTGGACCTGTGCGCGATTTTGGCAGCGCGCATGGCGAGGGAGAACCCCCGCTCAGGTTGGCCGGTCTTGTCGAAGATGCGGGCCTTGGCGACGAGGAGGTTGATCTGGGTGGCTATGTCGAAGTTTTCCTGGTGGATGGACTGAGCGAGCTGGTCGACGGTGGAAAGCGCGGCTTCGTAGTCTCCCTCGTGCATGAGAAGCTCGACTTTCATTAGGTTTAGTGTAGTTGACACCTCGGGGTCTGGAGGCGAGGCGCCCTCTAGCTGGGTTAATATGTGTTGCGCGGCTCGTTGGTCGTCACTGTTGATTCGTTAGGCATCCTGGTCGTGTAGGCGAGAAGGTTGACGGGAATACATACCGGTGCAGTTGCCGACGCAGCTTCAGGAGGCCCATGAAAAAGGCCCACGTCTGTTGGTGCTTGAGTGATTGAAGCATTCCGGCAGGGAAGCTGTTCATCTGCTTCACCGCATCGTCATGGCGGCCGCTCCATGAAAGCTGGAAGTTATGATGTCAGACAATTTAACCTATGGCAGGTGGAACAAGGTTCATCGGCTCACTAGCTGTGCGCTACGGCATGTAGCTCGTAGATTATCCTCGATCGGGGAAAGGTCTGAATAGCATTCCAGGAAAGTCCCATACATCGCCCACGTAAGATGCGTTAAGCCTGGAAGCCGTTTAGTAAAAGATGAAAACATGGAAGCCTGGAGGTCGAAGCTTACCCAGTCTCCCGAAGAGAGACGCATGGAGCATCATCTGAGGGCCCATGGAGTCGTGTCTATTTTTGGTGATGCTGATATGGGAAGCTTTGATGATACTTTCGAACGTCGATGCAATGCTTCCTCCCTGTACTCCGTATACACGTTAGCATCTGGATAACACAAAGCAATCTGCAGAGACATACGTTGGCAAGCTCAAGCTTCCCCTCGCTCAACAGGGCAGTGCTTAGCAGCCCCCACATCTCTGTCTCTCTGGCCTTGGACTGGAGAAACGTGAGAGCCTCCTTGTCGCTCCCCAGCATGCCTGTATTTTGGATATCTTTGAGCTCTTCGGGGAACATCTTTCCGAAATGATAGAGCCAAGTCATGCAAAAGTTCAGGCAGTTCATATCATGGGTCTCCCGCCCAATTGCTATGGTCTCCTGGACGGCCGAGACGGCCTCTCCATGGCAGCCAAAGTCTGCCTGTAAGAGGGAGAGGTTGAGGAGTGCGTACTGGTAGAACGTACGGTCTCGTGTCTGGACCGTGTAATCAAAGTACCGGTGGAGATGGTCAAAGGACGACGGGTGGTCGCCGGCTCTCCAGGAGTCAAGAAACCTAGGGGCTTACATTAGACCCAGATGTCCCGATAGAGGAAGATGCATTGCATGAATTCTCACCTCACGTAGTGAAATAGACTGGGCACTGTTGCACCGGCAATTATGATCTTTTCCAGTTTAGCCTTCATCTCGGGCGCAACTCTTGCTCCCTTGCTCTGCATCTTTGAAATTTGAAACTCGAGCAAACGCTCGATATCCCGCGCACTCATGCCGGGCTCTTCGTCTCCCGCGTCATCGAGGTCACCGTACATCACCCTAGCAAGCGGGCTATCCAGATCCAGGCCGAGTTCAGACAGATTTGCATCGACGGTCGTCTGCGCCTCCATCGGGTTCCTCTTCGCCCAGGCCTGGTATGTAGGCATCCGGTACCTGATAAAGGCCTTCCAGAGGATTGTTGCATCGTGGAACTGCAGCTTCGTGTGTTCCAGTCGGACTCTCCGGACAAACGCACCCAGGGGCGAGTGTCGAGAGAGCATCACCCGTCCCTGCCGGTCCTCGTCACCCTCGTCCGGGTCCAGCAGCCGCTCCTCGCGTGTCTTGACCAAGATATCTGACAGGCCGGAGAAGAACTCGTCCAGCGTGTCCGAGCAGTCGAACTGCCAGAGTCGCTTGAGGAAGAGGTCCCATATCGTCCTGCCGGGGATGGACGACTCCAACGGCGCAGTCACCTCCTTGACCTGTTCGACAGACGGCGTTCCCTGGGCCGGAACCGCGTCCTCTCGTCCCCTGTCTCCTGGGGCGTGTTTCACCGCGCTCAAAGCCTCCAGCGGCAGCAGATGCGAGACCAGAAAGGAGAGAATGGGCACAATGGCCGAGTTTGGCACTGCGCCCTCCGTGTAAATTGATATCAGGGCGAGCAGCGCGATCTTCGCCGGCGTCAGGAAGCGAGCCATCCTCTGTGTTCCTGTGTCTATCGTATATGCAGCCGTGCCGTGTCTGTCTCTGTATCTCTCTGTATCTCTCTCTATCTGGCCGTCTCTCTGCGTCTCTCTCTCTGTATCTCTCTCTATCTGGCCGTCTTTCTGCGTCTCTCTCTCTGTATCTCATGCAGTGCTTTCTATGCGCCCCATGCAGTGCGCAGCTGAGTTACCGTAAAAACAAACGGGCAGCAAACATCATGCTGGATGACGTGCAGGCAGCTCGAATAGCAACTCTCCAGGGATCTTGCGTGTGTCAATAATATATTCGTGATAGAGCGTGCATTAGTGCGGCGCGGGCGTCCGCGAAGTCCAACCCTTGAAGCCGCTCGGTTTTTGGTAGGGGAGCAGAAGTGCTCTTAAGCCTCCGCCCCGCCATCCGATCCGGAGGGGCCAGAGACGACCAGATAGGCTTTGATACGATCTACCACCAACATCTTTCTCTTCACCTATACTTACTGCTATGGAGCCTGTTCTGGAGGTCGACTTGAAGGGCGCCCTGCCGCTGGTCTCGCGCGGCAAGGTGCGCGACATCTACCAGGTCGACGAACGCACGCTGCTCTTCATCTCGACGGACAGAGTCTCTGCCTACGATGTCCTCATGGAAAATGTGAGCCTGCCGAATCTATGGTCGAATAACTGCTAACAGGTGTAGGGCATCCCGAACAAGGGCGAGATCCTGACCTCGCTGACCGTGTACTGGCTCAAGTTCCTCACCGGAGCCTTGCCCTCGCTTCGTTCGCATCTCGTCACCACCGACCTGCCCGCCGGCGTGCCAGTGAACAGCCGTGACATGGCCAGGAACAGGAGCCTGGTCGTCCGGAAGCTCAAGGTCTTCCCCGTCGAGGCCATCGTGCGTGGCTACCTCGCCGGCTCAGCATGGCTCGAGTACAAGGAGTCCGGCACCGTCCACGGCATCCCCTTGCCCGCCGGCCTCATGGAGAGTGACAAGATCCCAGACGGGCCCTTGTACACCCCGAGCACCAAGGCAGAGCAGGGCAAGCACGATGAGAACATTCATCCCGACAAGGGTGCGTATCTTCCCATATTGTCTATGAGCTGTGCTATCCCTCTATCTATTATCTGAGCTGTGCTAACATGATGTAGCTGCTGATATTGTGGGTGCTGCCTACGCCGAAGACATCAAGGAGGTCTCCATTCGCCTGTACGAATTGGCCTCCTTCCATGCCCTGCAGCGTGGAATCATCATTGCAGACACCAAGTTCGAGTTCGGCCACGACGAGGTGACCAACGAGATTGTCTTGATCGATGAAGTCCTTACCCCGGACTCCTCCAGGTTCTGGTCTCTGGAGAGCTACCAGCCCGGCAAGCCACAGGACAGCTTCGACAAACAGTTCCTCCGTGACTGGTTGACGAAGCAGGGCCTCAAGGGTAAAGAGGGAACCGTCATGCCAGAGGACGTCGTCACCAAGTCCCGGGAGAAATACATAGAGGCATACGAAAAATTGACCGGCGAGACTTTTCGTGACTAACACCCAGACTATTACTACACCCCCGGACTGGAACAGAGAATACGGGCGGGTTTTGTATAAAAAAAACCCCCCATTATAGTTAATACATGGAGAAGGAAAGGAGTTCAAAGAGCAACCCATTTAACCCCCCCCTTTTTTTTAGGTTAAATGATGTTCGGTGATAGGATTACGGGCTAATCATATTGTTTTCTTGGTTTTGGAACGAAAATTTCTGGTCCTTCTTTAATTGAGATATATACTTGTCAATTTTAGGATTTTTTTCGGAATTAAAATGGTTTTAACAGCAGAGCGAACGTCCAAAAAAAGTTATAAGGATGTGCATATCGTTTAGTGAGCCTCATTGGCTAGACAGTACAATTGACAAATGAAATGCTCTCCTGAGACAAAAAGTTAGATTCCCATGCTTCACTTTTTCTGGAATCCTTTCAAATTCTTAAACCGATCGAGGCCCTTGGACTCGCTCTCGACCAGGGACGGATACTCGTTTGCAGGCCTAGACTTCCTCCCCTCGGCGTGTGAAGAAGATGCATCCGCGGAGGCAGAGCCTGGAGCAGAAGTATAAACTGAATCTTCTCCACAAATCCTCTTTTCCTCCTCTAGTTCCTCCCCGCCCAGCCCGTTGGTCGCCCACATCTGATGAATACGCAGATCATATGGCCCTTCTACTCGGTCCGTCAAGCCAATGCCAATCGACTTGACTCGCTGTCGTAGCAGGCCGGTTTGCGGCTCAATGACCGTGCCCATATTCGTTCGTACGAAGTCTGACCATCGGATAAGTATCGTTTCCCATCCTGTTGAGCCGGGTTGTGGGTTTGTTATATATGATGATGTTGTGGTTGTTGGAGCTTCTTCTGGGGGAGGGAAATCGGCCAGGGCGGCGGGTATATGAGAAGGTGAGGAAGTAGTGGTAGAAGGGAAGTCGTATTCGGATTCAGGTTCGGATAGTGATTCCTCTGGCGTGATTGTGGAGGAGGTAAGGTGATCAGTGGGTCGGTTGAATATGCGGTGATGTCGAGTAAAGAGGCGGTGTTGGTGAATGTCAGATTCAATGATCGAGTCTGTCTGTATGTTGACCGTATATCTTCTTCCGTCTGACTTCACCCGCAGAGCCAGGAATGCGTACGGATCAATGTCCCAGTACAGCCTGCCAAAAAGCCAGAAACCGCGGTCTTGATTTCGGAAGGCCGCGTATCCTACTCGGTAGAGAATAAACAATAAGCACAATCTCCTCCTGTATACTCTTCTGTAGCTTTCGCTTCCATCCAACAACGTACCTGTTCTTTGTATCCTCCAATCCTTCGGTAACTTCGTCGATATAGATCCGTGGAATCGAGCGTGCGCTGGCATATTCGTCGCCGGGTCTGCCGGAACATAATCCAGACTCGCCGTACTATATCCCCCCACCGCACGATCTGCCATAGTCTTGCATGATTGTACGGCGCTTTCCTTTGTGAAGTCGAGTAGGTGGTATTGGTCCCTGGCTATGTCAAGCCCTTCGAGCCTCCAAACTAGAAAACACAGTTAGCACAGCCAACGATGATTTAGAACTTCTTTAGCTATATAAAGTAAATTTGTATAGCACGATATGCCCTCGAAGCTGTAACGTACTTATTCGCGCCGTCCGGCTCAGCTCATCTGCACTGTTTCGAAAGAAGCCAGGCTTCGACATGCGAACAGAAGTGGCAAACATTGCGCCGGTATCTGAACAGTGGCTGTAGCTTCTAGTCACGTATTTCAGCTAGTAGCTTTCATTGCTATAACAAGCAAATCGTTCTCGCCCATCTCCTGCTTTTCAGTTGGAGCAAGTTGTTCCCGTTTGTTCCTCGTGAAGCTCTTGCGCAGAGTTTATATCACGTGATACAACCGTCAATCAGATAAGATCCTGCCCTAGATACCAACCTCTACCTTAGGTACCTAGGTAGGTACCATTCATGGATAGAAGCAATATAGAAAGAGTATCATTAATATTTGACTGATGGGTTGGTTCATAAATATATACATAGCACTATCCGAAAAAATATATATAAGAAGTACATCAGAGCCGTTAAGGCGAGGGGAATTGGTTGGCTAAAGACGCTCATGTGGCAATTGATATGAAGGGGAATCGTAATAGCAAACAAAAGCAGAGAGGTATTTCAATTTCCAGTTTCCGGCAATAAATGCAGCCCATAGTACTAACAGAAAGGGAAAACCAGGTCCGACCTCAATTCCTTCACCGTTTTGCAAGTCCAAACCAAAGGCAATAAGTGCTCGTTATTAGTCGTTAAATATATATGAAAGAAGCGAAAAATGGGGACGGTAATTGATGTTAAAATAGCCTAGAGGTAACAATAAGGGTGCAACCGCTGCAAGGAGAAAGAAAATAGGTATCCTAGTAAATGCTCGCATATCTCGTGGTATGGTATCAAAGATGTTGAAGTGCTGACAAAATTTAAGCCGTCGGGTATATATATCGCTTGAAGCAACAAGGCTGTTAAAACGCGAAGTTAAGTCGTATCTCGAGAGAGAAGATATTATAATCCTTCAGTTTAGACCAGCTCTAACTTGACGGGCACCGAAGTAAGCTAGATTTAGCGCCGTGTCATTCACGCCCACAACGGGGGCTGATTCTTCGAGCATCTCCCAGGTCCTAGGTGGACAGGGGCCTAGAACCCGACTACCTTGCTGGAAACGGAAATTTTGGATAGGCGAGTTTGTTTCTTCGACTGTAGGGATCGGTGAACTCGCTTGATGGGAGGGCTGAGTTTGTGCGCCCTGTGTAGCATGACTTGAGACATTGAGAGGCGACGAGCCGGGTAGTGGTGGTGGTACAGAGGTTGTAGCACCCGTAGGGAGGTTAAAGGGGCCAGGGGCGGCTTGGGGATCAGGCATGGGGCCGAAAAGGTAGAGAAGACGGGTATCTTGCTGCTGGTGGAGGAAAAGAGGAGATCGATCTCGTAGGAAGCGAGCACACTGTAGGCGGGCGTCGTCGGGGAGGGTATCAACTAGAATGGCCGCGACATCGATGGCGTAGGTTCGCAAGCTATCCCAGTTTACTGGGAGAGGCTGCCAAAGGTGGCTATATCTGCTGGAGGGGTTTGTTGAAAGGTTACCTGCTCGAGAGAGAACTTGGCCTAAGGCTGGAGTAAATGCCATGTAGCAGATGCTGAGTAGAAGGCGGGTCTGGTCGGTAAGGTCAGACTTAGTTGCACGCTCTACATTAAATACTGAGCGGTACAAAGCCACCAGCCGTAGGATGATGTAAACCCATATTCCGAGTGTACCACCTTCATTGCGTTGAGCAGTGTCGGTTGACTTTGTCTCTGCGGTTTTGACCTTGGATAAGAACGCCGTTCTTTGCAGTAATAGGTTCATCCTTTCTAGTAGAGCGCTGCCTATGGCGGAAGAAACATTATCGGCAGATGTTTTATACATTAGCTCTTCGATGATGCGCAAGTATACCAATCCAAGCTCATAAGGTGCCAGTCCTTCGTCGGAGTCATCACTTGAGCTAGTCGAAGCCGAAGAGGCGGATGTAATGAACAGCGAGAGAAGTCTATTCTCTGCCTTCTGCCGAATCTTGAACGTTGTTAGCTGGTATATCATCTCTACGTTGAAAGCGAGATAGCTTACCTGTCGCCTCCCCTCGTCATCCAGCACTGTAATAACGTCTACCCACCGAGACAAACCATTCTTAACATCCACCTCGGCCGCAGCAAATACGGGATCAAGGACGTTCTCCTTCCCAGCTGCATCCGCTCCCGCAACTAGAAGCTGCAGCTTAATAAGACAGAAGGGCAGTGAGAAATCATCAATGCGCTGGATGATATCTAGCGTTTGTTGCTGGGCGACCTGCTGGGGCGCAGGCAACGCACGATCAGGATCTGCGTGCAAATTAGTATCACTGGCAATATCGCTGTTAAGCAATTGCAGCACGTCAAAATTACCGTTGCTATTGCCAGATCCCACACTAAGCAGATTATTCAGAGTCTGTGTAAGGAGGCGTACGCCCGTCGGGAACTTCTCCGTCACCCATTTAACACATTCATCCTTTGCGATGTTGGCGTGACGGACGATTATCTCGCAAAGTAGCGGGAATATGGACTTGTTCCATTGTTCCTGCATAGAACTGTCAATGGTAGATTGGCTTGCCGATGCATCCATTATCGCATCGCGGATAGTACCGACGATGCCGCGGCAGTTCTTGAGGATGAATTCCTGGCGAGCGATTTTGAAGCGGTAAAACACCTACAGATTGTAACGATTAGCAGCTTACACCAAAGTATGACGGAGCGTATTCACTTACGAGATCAGGTACGGCTCTCCTGTCAACTCTCTCTAGCCCTAGAACGCCCAGCATATCTAACCTTAATTGCAGAACATCTGGTATACTTTTCTCACCATCCTTGTCAGCATCCAGCAATTTTTTCACTAACCCAAAAAATGCCGGAAACGTAATACAGCCTACTCCAATGAGCGGTGGTAGAAACTCAGATAAATTTGGCCTTGGAGAAGTCCGTATAATCCCCACTACCCGCTTGATCATTAACCCATCGAAAGTCTTCGTGTTGAACAGACGTAGCTGTGCAAGGTATCGAGCTGCTTCACTTGACGAGAGGCTGATATCTGCCTTGCCCGTCTCGAGCTTTTGGATAAGCAGCTCAAATATACGTATAAGCGTAGCGTCATCCATACAGTTTCCGGATGCAAGTAACTGGTCTAGCATTCCACTAAAGGTAGGATTGACCGGGTTGAGTGTGTCAGCCATATGCTCCGAGACAGGCGATGAGGCAGCCATGGCCGATTTCTTCTCGTAGCGCACTAGGTCGCGGCGTAGAACAGCCACTGTAGACCCTTCGGAGGGAATAACGATAGCTACGTCCAGCAGGGCAACTATCAGATCTTGAACGTGGGCTTCGGCCTTGCTGAGCTTTGAATAGTTGATAGCGAAGCTGTGGAAAAGGTCTGTTGTGGCACCAATAGCTGTGAAGGAAGGGAAATGATAGTTAAGAGTATCCGTGGCGGAGGCTAGGATGGTAGTGTTGGTGGACTGGGAGACAAGTTTGAGGATGTCAGCGAGGATTGAGAGGTCGTCCATGCACTCGAGGATATGGCGGAGGAAGTAAAATTGGTCCAGCGTTAGCATCATAGAAGGCGTTTGGGTTGGTGTCTTGTTGGGAGTTGCCTGGGCATGAGTTTGGATTTTGTACGCAACCTGTTCCCGCACCCAATGCGAGATATCCGATTTCACAGTCCATGTAAGGTTAGCCCAGTCAGCATCGGCATCTATCATCTCAGCGTGAGAAGTGCCAGCCTTCTCAGTAAAGATATCTGGATACCGCTGTTGAAAACCAGCCTTAATCTGAAGTATCTGTCTTCTCTCGTCCTCAACCGACACCCCAGCCCTAGCAAGTAGCATATTCCGCAAATTCCAGATATGTTCTGGCAGCCTATTTGACGGGATATGTTGCAGCAGCTGCACATCAGCAGTCGGACATTGGCCTGGCATGTCTGGCCGTCTGACCGCGCCCCTAGCCATCAGCCACTCCAGATACTTCCCAACCGAGAAGGATTGCGATCGCACCAATTCCGACACAAGATGGTAGATATTTCCAAATCGGCGAGTGGAGTGTTTACTGCGGTCGGCTAGAAATGAGAGAATGTGCGCATCTGTATCGATAGAGAGCTTCCTCCAGCGCCGTAGTAGGCGTGCAGAAATGTAAATGCGCGCTGACCCGTATCGGAACGGGGTAGAGGACCATTCGACAAGAGTCCAAACTAGTGTTCTGTGATCCAATGGAAGAGCCAAGCATTTGGCAGCAAGGATAGGGAAGGCATTGGATGTACATGGTGTGTCAAGGAGAGAGACTAGCTGCTGTGAGGCAGGCCGTGAAGTCGGCTGTTGGGAGTCGAGACTAGGTTGTGGGCTGGTTTTGGCAAGCCTAATGTTTCGCTCCGTGAGCTGAGCGAGGAACGCTGTTTCCATGGGATTGGAAGTATTGAAGCAGGTAGTTAGAGGTTTCTGGTGTTGAGTCCAAGTCAAGGGGAGAATGAAAGAGGACGGATGAGAAGTGATAAATGAGCGGATCAGGTTCTGGAGACGAGTGATTAGGGAGTTGAGGACGTCAGAACGGTTGGTATTCAGAGCCTGAGCATATATTATCAGTCTAGGGAACAATAATAGACGAAAGGGGTCAAGGCAGGAGAACATACCAGTGATAGCTTATCCAGCAACGTCTGGGCAAGTCGTCTCCCTCGCTTTCGATAACTGGTGATATTCTTCCAGTATACGCCAATACTCGATAGCCATACGGGCAGCATATCCAGGGTCGAAGCATGTAGAGAGGTAAGAAACCATTCTAGGAAGGCATCTTGGTCAAGCAATTGTTCTAGGAACAGACGACCGGATAATCTCATACTATGATAAGTCAGTAACAAGACCTAAGATAGAGAGAACAATATAAAAAAAAGGAAACATACGCATAAGCTTGGTTCTCGATCCACCCAGTCTCTTCGTACGATTGCACCACCCCTTCCATGAACTGCTGTACACTCCCTGTCCAGTCCCTCACCCACTTAGCTTCCAACCCACTCGCAATCGCCGCCGCTGTTCCCTTCCGTTTAAACGCCCGTATCTCATTCGCACCCACACACTTCGCAAGCCAGATTGCGCGACCAATGGGGATATTCTTCCCTAAACATTGGTCCAGCAATATCCTACCACGAATACCGTGCGGTATGGTCCTGCTGAGCCGTCTAAGGGGGACGGACGGGTTGGCTAGATCCCGCAACCAGGCTTCGCGTTTATTATCGGTGAGTGTGACGCGCGGTGGTGGTTTGAATGTCGAAGTTGGAGTGATCTTCGAGTTGGCTTGTCGTTTCTTGAGGGCTGCGGCGAATATATGGGAGAGTGCTTTGAGGCCGTTGGGGTTTTTGAAGTGAGAGTATAGTGACGGCCGGGCAGTGTTGCTTTCGTTCTGGGAGAGCTGGACACGGTCGTAGAAGCCCTGTTTGGCGGTTTGTTCGTTCAGCGCGTCTTCGGGGTGGTTTCCTGTCCATGGATGGAAGTCGAGAATTGCTACGAAGGGAGATTAGTATATGGCCAAAAAAAAATGATATCAGCTTACTCTTATCAGCGAGCCTAGCAGCAGCTGCTGGGACTTCCATCGTATACGGCGTGGTCTGGACTGTCATGTCTTCATGTTCATCGTCCGAGGCAGCCGGTTCATGCATATCCCTTATCAGCCTGTTCCTGCGCGGCCGAGGAGGTAAGGGGAGCGGCGACTGCGACGCCTGCGACTGCTGGGCTCCTCCATCAATCGACATATAAGCAAGCCGGTCCTGAAACGTGGCAGCCGGCTTCGCACTCTCGACAAACGGCGGTTCCTCGTCAAACATTACTTCGTCGTCGTCTTCACCCTCGCCATCGTCTTCGTCGCCGGTACCAGCACCATCGTACGTCTCTTCCTCCAGCCTGGAACTGGGATTCATAAACCTCGCCAGCTCATCGTGGCCGTGTGTGTCGATGCGCAACCTCTTCGCAGGCCGACGGGACTCCAGGTCCTCATCCTCCTCGTCGTTGCTCCCCGTGAGATCGATGACCGGACTCGATCTCGCGCCCGGCCCTCCTCCCGGTCCCAATCCTCGTGCCAGACCGTTCCCCGGCCCCATTCGAGCGTGGTGGAAGACCGTACGGCCTGCTGGAGGGTCGGAGAGGCCCGTCAACGGCTGAGGATATGAGCTGCTCATCTGGGGATGGGAGTTGGTCATCCTCGGGGCATTGTTGGGTCCTACATGCCAGCCAGTGAGTGATGGCTAGGCGGTCATTCTGCTGCCTGGAGTAGTCTGGCTGTGATATCCGTGGTATCGTAGTCGTCAATCGGCCTCGGACAAAGGCCTAGCATGCAGTGGCTATAGGCAATTGAGTTATATACGGCGCAGGTCTGGCCGGTCGAGATAGGATGGTCAGGTCCGCCACAGCAACGGTGTCTCCTGTATTCAAGTATGTCGTATGTCGTCCACTACTTCTGTCTCTATATCTTCTCCTTTTCGTCTTGTCGTCTTCTTCTTCGTCGTCGTTGGTATGTTATTAAATGTGCAGGAGTTCGGAGGAAGAGGGAGACCCCGTGATTGGACAGAGGCAAGGCTGAGTCAGCATCGGCTGATCCCGCGGATGAAAGTCGGGCGGAAGTCACTTTTGGCCCAAGAAGCGAGCGAAGATACAAGACATCGACAAAACAAGGACAAGATCAAGATATAACGGCGACTGGATACACGATACTGGGCGGGAGGCGTCGGGATACAGCGCGCGGATGGGCTGACGATGAGGTGATGTTACTCAGCAGGCAGTCTCAAGTTTTGGACCGGCTATCTCGAGCGCTCCCGGTTGGCTGTTCGACCTGCTTCGACCAAGACGACCGGGAAGGGCGAACATGCAGATGCAGGTCACACTCGCCGTACCCATGATATTGCTGGGCTAGGGCCTTCTAGGGTGAAGTGGCGGCGGACTGCGGATGGCCCACGGATTACGAGCCCAGGGCCAGTTATCGTCGATGCAGTCCGTCCTCGCTTACGGCCACCGTTGTGCCTGGATCGTACATTATTACGCATCCTAATCCATACTCTGTGTACATAGTGCATAGTGCGATCAGATCACATCGAGAATCTCTGATCTGCCATAATGATGGACGCCGCATGAGCACAGCGCGAAGGATCTATTAGTCAATAATCCCCAGGTGGCTTGATGGGCGTAATTGGCCAGACAAAGCCCGAAAGCAATGGACGAGCAGATCGTAACTTACGCGAGAAGAATAATATCTCCCTGTTCAGCTATCAGGCTGGGAAGGGGGATTTGTCTAAAACATCTCTCCTCTTCCTCATGGATTTACCTCTTTCAAGCGTAAAAGACGATGGCAGCGTGGGCAACAAGCAGAAGGACAAGAGGATAACATGCTACAGCTACGACAGCAACAGGGAGTACCCAGATAACGTCAAGTGTCCAGACTCAGACTCCTGCTGCGAGTCCATCGAGCAGTGCCGTCCGGACCGTCTCTGTACCTCAAAGGACGACCCGAAGACGCTGATACGGGCCCCCTGTGCATACAAACCGTGGACGAACAGCTGTGCCCAAGTATGCCTGTACGGTATGTATCCATTGGTTCTCGTTTGTGGTTTCTCGTTTTACTTTCCTCCTCGGAGTAGGTCGAGCTAATGCAAAAGTAGATAACAAAGAGTCTCTTATCCTGCCGCGGGCCGTAGTCTGCGAAAACCCAGGCCCTGCCAATGGAAGCTACTGCTGTGACGACAACAGAACATGCTGCATCGACAAAGCAGGTTTCTTCCTGAGCAGTGACGGCATTCTCGTCGGTCGTGCAAACCAGACAGAAGATGACCCTACATTAACTCCCAGACCTATCGGAATACCAGCTAGCAGCCTGATAAGCATGGGATCTTCGGCCACCGCAGGCTCGTCGCCTGTGCGGTTGCCGGGTGATGAAAAAGCCGGCCTCTCGACGGCAGCCAAGGCCGGCATAGGCGTGGGCGTGGCAGTTGCTGTACTGCTTGCCGTTATTGCAGGGACGCTGCTGTTCCTTCGCAGGAAGAGACGGAATAAGAGAACCGCGAAGGGTGCTGTGCCGGGGGATTCAAATGAAGAGCAGGACCAGGTCCCGCTACCAGAACAGGACTCGGAGAAGCAACTGGAACAGCCGCAGAGGATTGCACACGAGAATGCACACGAACTCATGGGCGATGGTGGAACGTCGGAGCTACCCCCGTCGGAGGTGTCGACGCCGACATATATGAAGGAGCAGGCCGAACGGCATATGGAACAGATGGAACAACAGATGGAACGGCATATGGAGCAACAGGGGGAGCAGCAGAGGGAGCAGCGGATGGCGGCCATCGAGTTACCCGCCGACCCGCCTTCTGAGAAACATCGATACGGTTGATCAGGTTCTTCAAGGATATATAATTGACGTCATTTGGCTTTTCGTTGCGTTGGACTGGAAATGGGATGGTACACGTTTGATAATCTTCGTTTGTACATAGTTTATATACCCCGGTGAGTAGAAACGGATTGGAGACCTGTTTCCTATCATGGTGGAGTGTCATATACGGCTTGCTACTCTTATACTAGACTTACTCTTATACTAGAACAGCCTTAATTAACTGTCTTCCGCCAAACTTAGTTCTCCATCCCTCCACAACCTAAATGGCTTGAACGGTTACATCGAAGGTCATCAACTTCCATTTCTTCCGGTTGGTGTGGCGGCTCATGGTTCATGGCAAGGTCTGGTCAAGGCTGGTCATGGCCGGTTTTACATTTACATGCTCTCTAATAGGCCGGGAGCTACTATGACGTTCCTATGCTACGATATCTTGGATGTTGGCCTCTGCATCACTCGCTTCAAATGGAATATTCAACAGCTATATAGTATGATCCATTGACCCCGTTGCTTCTCGCATCGAAGATATCCCACCCCAATGAGCCTCCCTCGACTTGCAAGAGCAGGAATACCATCTCTCAAAGGCATTGCACCCAGGACTATTCCTCGCATACCCTATTGTCAGCCACTGTTATATATATCTACCAAATCCACCATGAAGAACAAGATCTCCGACGCGGTCAAGACCGACCACCGCGAGCTGGAGCACTATTACCATATAATTGTCAACTCTACCAACCCCGGAGAGAGGACGAAATACCAGAACCAGTTCGTCTGGGAGCTCGCACGCCATTCCGTCGGAGAGGAATTGGTCCTGTATCCCGCCATGGAGAAGCTGATGGGTGCAGAGGGAGAGAGGCTGACGGCCAAAGATAGAAAGGAACATCAAGTGGTAAGTCTAGCATACATTCTCCTCTTTACACCAGATGTTAATATAGCATAGGCGAAAGAACAGCTGCAAGAGTTCCAGAGCACCGATGCATCTGATCCCAAGTTCATGGACCGGATCAAGGAGTTGATGGATAATCTAGCAGAGCATATCAAGGAAGAAGAGAACATCGACCTGGTCAAGATCGAGGAGCTCTTAGATCCCACGGAGAGTGACGAGATGGCTGCTTCTTTCGAGAGGACGAAGATGTTTGTGCCTACTCGATCTCATCCAGGAGCTCCGAATAAACCGCCGTTCGAGACGGCCGTGGGACTCCTGACGGCCCCTATCGACAAGGTGGCTGATCTCTTCAGGTCTTTCCCCTAGCTTCTCGCCATAACGCATATATCTATGTCTTTATATGTCTTTATGTCTTTTTAAATCTGTATCTCTATTATGTTGAAGTACGGAAAAATACATTCTTTTACTGCTTTTTAGTGTGTAAAAAGATGTACCTGCAAGTTACTATTTATGGTAGTTTCCCCACCGAACGACGTAATAGGCTAACCTTTTCCGTTAAAGTATCGATACCTCATTGACTAAGTAATTAAGGTGGGCTGGAAGTACTGGTACTTCCCTTGTTTGTACCGAACACGTATATTGCTCTTCCATATCAGGTTCAAGAGAAAGACACCAACAAGCAACAACAACATCAGCGTATATTCCGATGATAAGACTTCCCTCGTCCGCTGGCTCCGTGTTCTCTCTAATGGCGAGGACTTGCACCAACGATCGCTAAAAGAACCTCATGGGGCCTTTCAGCGCATTCCTCCTGGTCTACGTTCTTGGTGGGCTTACCTTCATACCGCTGGTGCTCAGCCTGCTCGTCCTCCACGCATATCTCACCCTCCCCGGCCCATTAGATAGGGACAAAGCTGAAGCCGTTGATGTCGGCGGTCTTGAACGGAAAGGAGATGACGAACACTCTCTCAACTCCCGTACGGCGGAGCTGGCAGAGAAGTTCCAGAGACCACGGGAGGCAGACGTAGCTGCTGGTTACTTTGCTGTATGCAGAGAGTATGTGCCTGGAGGCGTGAATGGGAAGCCGCCAGAGCGAACGACTCCCGCTGGAGAGGTTATCGCTACAGAGAGTCCCAGTGTCTACCAGAGCGTCTACCGAAGTATATTCGACCGGAAACAGGTTCCGACCTTGGACGCAAATAAAGGCAATGGAAGGAATGTTCGAAAGGCTAGGAATGTCTTTTACGTTATTTTACGGTATGGTCCTTTCTTATCGTCTATGGCATAGCTTCCGGTGACCCAATACTGATGTTCTCTCGTTTCTCCGCCTCTAGCCATGGGCATCTTATGCTATACGACGACGCCGAGCAGATCGAGGTTCGATACGTTATATCCTTAGCACATCATAATGTTAGCATATACGGAGGAGGTGATTTGATACCGGAGGGGGAACTCTGGATCAAGAGGAACGCGATATGTCTGTCGAGGAAACCAGAGGGCGAAAACATACCGGGTCCCCGGCCACCTACGCTACCGTTCTACCTCTTTTCTGAGAACCTGTCGGAGAAGGAAGACTTTTATTTTGCCATCTTGAACAACCTGGATAGGATTCCTGGCTCAATTGATTCCCCTCCCACGCCTCGACAGTTTGCCACGGAAGATATGGTCACCCTCGTGCAGCGTCTGCATTCATCGGAGGAGCATCTACAGACCCGCTGGTTCAATGCGTTACTTGGCCGGCTTTTCTTAGCTCTATACAAAACTCCCGAGCTAGAACAGTTCATTCGAGGCAAAATAACCAAGAAGATATCTAGAGTTAATAAGCCAAACTTCATCACGAAACTTGAGCTTCAGGCCATCCACTCTGGTGAAGGGGCTCCTCTCATCACAAATCCACGTTTGAAGGACCTGACCGTGAACGGCGACTGTTGCATCGAGGCCGATGTTAACTATAGCGGGAACTTCCGTGTGGAAATTGCAGCCACTGCCCGCATCGAACTTGGAACTAGATTTAAACCACGAGAAGTCGATCTTATTCTCGCAGTGGTGCTGAAAAAGCTCAAGGGCCATATCCTACTGCGCTTCAAGCCGCCTCCAAGCAATAGATTATGGATCTCCTTTGAAACGATGCCTACTATGGAGATGACAATAGAACCCATTGTTAGTTCAAGGCAAATCACATACGGTATCATATTGAGGGCAATTGAAAGTAGGATCAGAGAGGTCGTTGCGGAAACCCTAGTGCAGCCATTCTGGGATGATATTCCCTTCCTGGATACGGAAGAGCAGCATTTCCGTGGAGGAATATGGGAAGAGGCCCAGAAGGCTCAAGAACCCGAAGTTACAGACAAAAAACCAGAGAAAGAGGAAACACCTGATGCCACGCCAGGTGCTACGCCTGGTACTGGAACACCCGAATCATCCAAGGAACATACTACTGAAGAACACGATGCTTCAAATGTGGTTCCCGATACTCCATCCCAGTCCCAGGAGACTCTGTACCAGGCCTTTACAAACTCCATAAATGAGCAAGAAACGTCGGAAGCCCAGGAAACAGACTTTCGCCCTTCTTCACTTCCCGATATACCAGGGAAGGCCGCGCATAGCGCCCCAAAACATCGATCAACCCGTTCGTTGTCATTCTCACCTGCAACCTCAGGCTCTTCATTGTTCTCGCCAACAATATCTACTACCCAGTGGAATGATCCCACGGAGGCATCCACACCTACTTCAGAGTCTGGTGATACCGCAACTCCTCTATCTAGATCCCATTCCGATCATGGCACCAACCCTGCATCTGTAAACGATAACAGAATTAATAGAAGCAACTCTCTGGCTGCTGAGGGCATCAAATCTTCGAAAAGCACTTCTGCGTCTCCTAACCTGGCCCCTGGTACATTCGAGCCACGTCAAGCGATGCTGACTATTGGAACTGCGGCTGCGGCTGCTAAGAAGTGGGGGATGAGCGTTCTCACCCGCCACGACCAGAGTCCAAGGCCCGGCGAAGTTCCTGACCATCCAGTAGGTCGTGGTCGGCCTCTTCCACCTCCGGGTACGCCCCTACCTTCCCCCGGGCGGTTTAATTTTGGCTCCATAGCGATGCCGAAGCGCAAACCAGTGGCTCCATCTTTGATAGCATCGGAACCCTCACCGTCTGTGTCCAAGCAACAACTTTCAAAAAGACAAGACACAGTGGCAGATAACGATACCGGGGACCAGGAACTGCTCGTTATAAAGGCGCCGGTGGGCTCAGAGCCTAGCAGCCCCGTGAAGGACCGTCCCGACCATGGAGACATGGCTGACGAGAGTGATGATGTGCCAGATGCATGGTCAAATGAGGTCCTTATGGATTTCCAAGACTCCTCGTTCTCCAACGCCGAAACTATATCATCGCCTTCTGAGCTCCCTCAGCCAACAGACCGGCCTGACGAAATAAAATTCGACTAGGGTAAAGAGCTGAGAGGCAAGGGTGTAGTCTTATAGGTTATCCATATGCATCCAAGCCATGGCTCTTTTTTATTGGGCAGGCATATTATCTTGCATTTGGCGTTAGGTATCGTGTGTTAGAAATTGTTTCCAATGTATATATCACTGGCGTTTGGCCCAAGGGGTTTCTATGGCACAAGGTCTAGATAGTCAATTCAATCATTACCATATTGATTCAGCTCCGTGACTTTTGACTTGAAATAGAGCTTCCTTCACTGAGAAATTACCACACTATAAAGATATAAACGCGTAATCGATATTGAACAGCCACTCTCCATATAAAACGGCGTTGCCTGCGAGATCGCGTGCCAAGACGGTGACGACTCCAGCGCCATCTCGAAACCTCCGGATAAACCTCCAAGCACGCCGGACATTTGGATGCGACAGCGATTCCATACAGACGCCCTTAACCAAGTCCATTGGACTAATCTATTTTGTTCTCCCCTTTCATTCAGTTCGGCCGCCCTTAGGCATCACCTTTCCCTCAGTTGAACGGCCCAAACACCGTTGCTGGTCTCCCCTGTGGCTTCTTGCTACCATAGATGTCATTTAGGTTACGGCACATCTACAAGAAACATAGCAATGAGCAGGTGAGAAGCTTCGAACAGACTAATCAGGCCTTAGTGACGGCCTTCTAAGACCTGTGGGCTCAAGATAGCAGTGCTGATATGTTGCTACAACAGAACCGAAGCAGACCTAACGGTCAACATCCGCAAAGCTACTAGCATCGGTATGAGACCTTTCCCCTCCTCACTACCGGTGATTTCTACATATATACAGAATAGTCACTGACGCGACGATTTGACCAGAGGAAACGGCTCCCAAACGTACGTCCCGCACCCTACCAGGCCGGTGTCACATCCATACTAGGAACATGGGATTTAACGACGATATACAGGAAAACATGTGCGGAGCTGTATTGTATATACGTGGGACCACAAGTCCTCGATGTCCTTCTGGTCTGGCATGAAAGTGTGAGTTTCGTCAGCTGAGATTTACTACTCGCCCAAATCCGCTTTCACCTACTTGTCACAAGCCCCTTAGCTGTTGAGTGCGCATTGCTTATTTACCGCGTTTATGTTAGACAACCGATTCTCGCCGATGAAGTCCAGACCTTTAAAGCCCTTATTACGATCCATAAAGTCTTGCAGGAAGGCCATCCGGTAACCGTGAGAGAAGCACAGGAAAATGTTACATGGCTGGACAGCTTGATGAGAGGGGTGACCGGCGAGGGGCTTCGAGGTAGGAGAACCCATGCTTTCCCGCGAGATGGAAACTACATTATATGTAGACTTTTGCACTTTGTGCAGAATAGGGGTCTCTGACAGCGGAGTATAGGTTACGGTCCATTGATTAGAGAATATGTTTTCTTTCTGGAGTCGAAGCTCGCGTTCCATCGACAACATCCTGAATTTAATGGTGAGTGGTACACCTAGAGTGTCTACATTGATCGGGTGTGATTGAAATGTATGAGTGCTAATGAGAGGCGGCGCTATCACGATTGCAGGTCTCTTTGAATATGAGGAATACATCAGCCTCAAGTCCATCAATGATCCAAATGAGGGGTATGTTGCTCTCGCCTAGCTATACTCGACCATTTCTAACAGGACATAGTTATGAAACGATTACCGACCTCATGACACTCCAAGACCAGATTGATACCTTCCAAAAACTTATCTTCTCGCATTTCCGAGGTGGTGCAAATAACGAGTGTAGGATTTCTGCCCTTGTACCTCTTGTTCAAGAGAGTTATGGAATTTATAAGTTTATTACCAGCATGTTGCGAGCCATGCACTCAAGTAAGAACACTCGAGGGATCTGTCCTGCGTTCCATTGCCGTACTAATATCTCGTTATAGCAACTGGGGACGACGAAGCATTGGAGCCTCTCCGTGGCCGATATGACGCCCAACATTATCGGCTAGTTCGATTTTATTACGAATGTTCGAATTTAAGATACCTTACAAGTTTAATCACTGTTCCAAAACTTCCACCGCAGCCACCAGGTCTACTCGGTGAAGATGATGAGCGGCCCAATCTTCCAAGGCGTCCAGCCAACGAGCCCGAACGGGAGCCAACTCCTCCACCAAAGGCAACTATCCCTGACGCGGAACCAATCAACGACTTCTGGTCGACAGAGGCCAAACGCCAGCAGGAGGAGTACGAAGCCGAGCAACGTCGACTCCAAAGCCAGTGGGAAGAACAGCAGCGTGGCCAGTTACTTGCACAACAACAAGCGCAGCGTGATTTTGAAGAGCAGCAGAGGTTGCAGGCCGAGCAACAGAGACTAGCACAGGAACAGTTGATGGCCAATCAATACCAGCAACAAACCCAAGGAAGACTGGCGGAACTTGAACAAGAGAATCTGAATGCGCGTGCACAATATGAGCGGGACCAGCTGATGCTCCAGCAGTATGACAAACGCATGAAAGATCTCGAAGAGCAGCTGAACCAACTCAACACAAACTTCAATTCACAGAATGCTTCCAAGGATGATCTTATTCGATCTCTTCAAGAGCAACTCAACACCTGGCGCACAAAGTACGAGGCTCTGGCAAAGCTGTACTCTCAGCTACGACAAGAACATCTAGATCTCCTACAAACTACCAAGTCCCTGAAGTTGAAGGCCGCATCTGCGCAAGAAGCAATTGATAAGCGAGAGCGCCTTGAACGGGAGATGAAGACTAAGAATCTAGAACTTGCCGATATGATCAGAGAGCGTGATAGGGCTTTACATGACAAGGACCGCGTTACTGGTGGTAACCGTGAGGAAGTAGAGAAATTGAAGAGGGGGCTACGCATGGCTATTGAGCGAGCAGAAAATGCCGAACGTGCTAAAGGATCGGAAATTTCCGCAATGCTCTCTAAGTATAACCGTGAAATGGCTGACCTCGAAGAGGCCCTCAGGGTATGTTTACGTCATTTCACTATGCTACTAGTGCTGATTCATCTATCTATAGAACAAAACACGGGCCCTCGAGGAATTCCATTCGAGCAGTGGCGAGCTGAACGAGGACCATGATCTCATGCTCCGAGAAAAGGACGAGGAGATCGAAATCTACAAGTCCGGTATGGAGCAGGCATTGACAGAGCTGGAGGAATTGAGATTGGTATGTGCTATTCTACTTGGATATAAACCACTGGAGCTAACATTCGACTCTCAATTATAGAGCCAAGGAGACGCGGATAAGGCCCTCGACAGTCAAATTGATGACGTCCTTAGCGGCTCTATCTCCAAGGTCAACGACATCATTGACTCTGTCCTTCAAAGTGGTGTACAGCGAGTAGATGATGCGCTCTATGAACTGGATTCTACAATGCAGGCTGGAAACCAAAATGCCTCTCCCTCTTATGTGCTGTCACAGATTGAAAAAGCATCTGCTAGCGCTACTGAATTCTCGACCGCCTTCAACAACTTCATCGCCGATGGACCAAACAGTGCACATGCAGAAATCATCCGTACCGTGAGCGTGTTCTCTGGATCTATCGCGGACGTCCTGAGTAATACCAAGGGTTTGACGCGATTCGCAACGGACGACAAGAAAGCTGACCAACTCATCAACGCCGCCCGATCCCCTGCACAATCCACTATGACATTCTTCCGTGGCCTGCAATCATTCAGACTCCAAGGTCTTGAGCCTCTCCAGAAGACAGATGTGGTTATCAACAACAACCACGAAGTCCTCATGAATCTTCAGAAGCTCTCCAAGCTCGTCGATACGTTTGCTCCAAAGAGCAACAAGCTTACCGGCGCTGGCGACCTAGGCGACATTGTCGACCGTGAATTGACTAACGCTGCTAACGCAATTGAAGCTGCAGCAGCACGACTAGCCAAGCTCAAGAAGAAGCCTCGCGATGGTTACTCGACTTACGAACTCCGCATCCACGATTCTATCCTCGAAGCGTCTATTGCGGTAACAACGGCCATCGCCGAGCTGATCAAAGCTGCCACCGCGTCTCAGCAAGAAATTGTCAAGGAAGGCCGAGGTAGCTCTTCCAGAACGGCGTTTTACAAGAAGAACAACCGATGGACCGAAGGATTGATCTCCGCCGCTAAGGCCGTGGCGACTTCGACGAACACATTGATCGAAACTGCCGACGGAGTTATTTCTGGCCGAAACTCGCCAGAGCAATTGATTGTTGCCAGTAACGATGTGGCGGCCAGTACAGCCCAGCTTGTGGCAGCCAGTCGAGTCAAGGCTACATTCATGAGCAAGACACAGGATCGATTGGAAACGGCCAGTAAAGCCGTTGGATCCGCCTGTAGAAGTCTAGTCAGACAAGTGCAAGAGATCATCGCAGAGAAGAATCGCAATGAGACCGAAGCCATCGACTACACCAAGTTGAGCGGACATGAGTTCAAAGTACGAGAGATGGAGCAGCAGGTATGGGTCCCCGTTCCACAATCCATCCCCTCTTTCTAACAAGATGTATAGGTTGAAATTCTCCAACTTGAAAACGCGCTTAGCCAAGCTAGAAAACAACTTGGTGAAATGCGCAAGATATCATACCTGGAATAGAGTGTTATGGCTGTCCCCGTCATTCACGTATTGAAATCAAATATATAAACTCATCTCTATCCATCGTTTCTCTTCTACTTTACTTCGTGCCTATTTATGAAAGGGTATCTGAAAAGGAAATACAGATAATACTATTGCTCTTCATTCCTTGAACAAGTGTTGAAGCACAGTAGTGCGTGCTGCGTATCAAATTAAATTGTTCACCAAGTAAACAGACCTGGTTCGGAAAATAGTGGTTGAATCAAATAGTTAGACCATCAGTCGTCGATATTGGTGACGAAAGTTGAGCACCATATTATATCAAAAACCTGCCTGTCTGAAAACACGTCTGCGACGGGGCTTTCTATACATATTTTATTTCCTTCCTATCCAAAGAAGGTGGATGATGGCATTTTCCTCGTCATCTATAAATGAAATTCGGCCCTGCCCTCGCATATATGTTTATCACGTTTTGCTTGTTTCGTCTGGTGGATTTATACGTTTCTTTCCTGCAAAGTCAGCTTACAAACTTGAAGTTATCCATGTGAACTCCTCATCTTCCACGCCTGCTGTGAAGAGCCAGGATCTTCTGCAGGGAGGCAGGGCCTACTAGATTATAGGTGGCCAGAAATGGGTAGAACAAAGGAGAATGAATAAAGAATGAACAGGAGAGGTATCTCCTAACTATATACAAGTAGGGAGATATCCACAGCGTCACAAGTAACAGATGCCGACGAAGACACGTTGAGTTATGAATTCAAGGTATATATTCTGTTTCAACAATTTGACCTATTCTACATATGGTGACGTTATACCTATGCTGCACAAAGGTAGCAGGTTGTCCTTCCAAGAACGTAGGCATAACATTGCTTTGGGTAGAGTGCATCCGTTAGCCGAGCATTGGGTTGAGATCGAATTTAGGTGACCTTGTCCTTGTTGTGGTAGTTGACGTCCTTGTTCCAGCTATATATCGTGGTCAGTATTGGTACGCATCTGGTGATGGGATTATATAATCGTCGCAGTAGGGAACATGTTTATACTAACAAGATAGTCTGTGAATTTCGTTAGTAATGTCAAATGTATAAGGCGATATTCAAGTCCACATACCTTATCACCATCGCCCCAGAAGTAGTTCTTGTTTCGGATGTTTTGGTAAGGATACTCGACGCGTTCCTCCAATGGTGGCATATGTTCCCAGTGCTCCCAATGCTCAGTCCAGAGATTGTATGCATTAATTGAGCCGAGGATCAGGACGGGGATCACAGCGCTACCACATTGTTAGTCGTCCCAGGTCCGGCTCTCGGGTAGACGGGTTCGATGCGGAAAACGTACTAGATAGATAGCTTACGCCATAAATCTGCAGAGACAAAATTAGCTTCTCTCCCCCAAGCGGAATAATCTCATCAAATTGGCTTACCGCTGGTGGCGGCAGCGTGAGCTTTCACTGCAGCTCGCTCGCGGAGGAATTCGTTCTCGGGAACCGAGCTGTTGAGGCGGCGCTGAACGAATTTGCGGGCGACAGGAGATCGAAGGCTGGCCCGCTGGGCAGCGCGTAGAATGGGTTGACGGCAAAACATGGTCGTTCCAATTGGTACTCTGGCCAGAGTCTCGGTAATTGAAAGTTGATCGTAATGGGATGAAGTTGAGTCGAGAAGTGGTTTGTGGTCAAATTAGTGGCTCAGGATAGCTTATGTAATCACATGGCCTGATCGTCATCGCGAGTTTGAACTTCAAACGTCCATCAAAAACAAAAACCGCCTGGAGTCAAGGGGGAAGATAGAGACGATGATGTGAGGATGCTGCCACACGCGGGAAGATGGTACTACGATTAACAACATGGAATGGTCAGTCTGGTGACAACACGACGAGTCAGCTACGTAACTAACATCATCATCGTTCGACGACTAGTAAATGGGATAAGGTGGCCATGACAACAACTGTCGTTTCGAACAATCAACTGGATGCTAATGTATTCTCAGGAACCCATTTGCATACGAGCCATGGAGGGGAGACCGGACGTTCGGGGTACGCCGTGATTTATTGTTGTTTTTAGCTAGATATATCTCTAACAGGATTTAAGGCAATGTTCGATATACTCGAAACAGATATTGTCATTTTTCAAGAAGCCAAGATCCAACGAAAAGACCTCCAGGATGATATGGTGCTTGTCCCAGGATGGGATTGTTATTTCAGCCTTCCAAGACACAAGAAAGGTACATATCAATCGCCCAAAGTGCCTTTGGGACTTACACTGACACTCTCAAGGTTACTCCGGCGTAGTAATATATACCCGCAGCTCCAAGTGTGCTGCAATCCGGGCAGAGGAAGGGTTAACTGGTACTCTCTGCTTGCCGAACTCTTCAACTCAGTTTCGACATTTGCCTGAATCGGAGCAAATCGGCGGATACCCTACCACTGAGCAGCTAGAGGAACTGTCTGCTGTCGACCCTGCTACGCTTGACTCTGAAGGGCGATGTTTAATCCTGGAATTTCCTGCTTTTGTCTTAATAGGAGTTTATTGTCCTGCCGACCGCGATGAAGCCCGAGATGATTTTCGGCTTGGATTCCTGAACGTACTTGACGCTCGCGTGAGGAATCTCATCAAGATAGGAAAGCGTGTCATTTTAACAGGTGACTTGAACATATCTGGGGCGGCGATCGATTCAGCACCGGCTCTGGAAAGAATCAGGAAAAATACCGAAACCGAGGAAGAATATACATCTACTCCTTCGCGGTGTCTCTTCAATCGACTCGTGAGGCGTGGGAGCTCAACCGGCTGTAAAGACGACGACGAAACTCCGCCCGTGCTTCGAGACCTCTGTAGGGAATTCCATCCTGACCGGGCTGGCATGTATACCGTTTGGAATCAAAAAGTAAACGGTCGACCGGGTAACTTTGGCGCAAGAATCGACTACGTCCTCTGTAGCGAGGATATCAGGGACTGGTTTGTTGAATCCAACATCCAAGAGGGACTTATGGTAAACCGTGAACGACCTTCTCTAAACCGTTTTTCTATACTAACACTGTGTAGGGATCGGACCATTGCCCCGTTTACGCTTCAATGAGTGATAAAGTTCTCTTAGACGGAAAGGAAGTCCATACTTTAGATATCATGAACCCCGAAGGCGCGTTCAAAGATGGGATACCACAACCTCGCTCTGCGAAACTAACGCCGCTACCGCTTTCAGGGAAGCTAATCCCGGAGTTCAACCACCGCAGGAACATTAAAGATATGTTCAGAAATCATTCCCTTTCCAGGACCAATAGCGAAGTAAAAGTGCCAGCAGATGACGAATCTCGTGCTGTATCCGAAGCTTCTGATTCAGGTACCCAGTCCAAAAATACCACTGAAGGCAAAAATACTCCAACGACAATGAACCCGCCTTCCAAGCGAAGCTATAGCAACACCAGCCGGGTATCACCTTCTAAGCGTCCGAAACTAAAAGGCCGACCTTCTGGCCATCGAGGCAACGGCCAGCAAACCCTCGCAGGCTTTTTTAAAGCAGAAAGACCCATGAACGCTACCAATGAAGGGTATGCGCCTGCTTCCATCAGCTCCTCAGAGGGACCTCAGAGCGGAGTGCAGCCAGCTTTGAGGGATGAACAATCGGTCACTGCAGAAGCAACGGCTCTGGTGCCAGATGAATTCCCCAAGATCTCTCCCGACTCCCCTGCTTTTTCATGCAGCCCTATTGAATCATGGTCAAAGGTCTTTACAAAGAAGCCCGTGCCTAAATGTGAAGGCCACGACGAAGATTGCATTTCACTTGTCACCAAGAAACCGGGAATAAACTGTGGAAGGTCTTTTTGGATATGTCCACGGCCGCTAGGTCCGAGTGGTAATAAGGAGTCAGGGACTCCATGGCGCTGCCCAACTTTCATTTGGTGCAGTGACTGGCGAACAAGCTAACTAGCTAGAGTGAAAAATGTAATTCTAACGATATTATATACTTCGTCAACCAGCGGTAACCGCCTGCGTTTCGTGGACTCTGCCGGCTCATGGCCAGCTGCTAACCCTCCGAAATCTACGCTTCCATTTATCATTCACTTGATATCATCATGACCATAGAAACTATCTTCGACATATCCTGTCAAGTTAGCAAAGTATATGGTTAGCTGATAATCGGCTAAATTTGCCTTTTCGTATACCCAAACAGCCTATCCAACACTCAATTAACCAATAATTGATACTCGTTACATATGTCATTTTTACACTCTGCTGATACATTGTGAATAACAATACCATTATGTCATAATAAAGCGAATTGCCGCTGCTAGCGATTACTCACTTCACTATCTATATCTTTATAATAGTTCCATCTCTCAGCTATTCTTCTACACCCACATATACCTCACAACTTGGACATACGATGTCAACCGCTGCCAGATCAAGATGTAATTCACATTATCTAGATTCCCTTCTAGATTATAATAACCATCAATCTATGCAAAATATCAAAATTTACTGCCTCTGGTAGCGATTTTGTTTTGCCCCTGGAATCGTGGAGTAACCTTGGTGGCATAGCAACATAATAACACTGCCCATAGCAACGCATCCATATAAATAACAAACAACGCCCACGCATCTCTGACATCTCAGACAACCCCAAACCTCGAGCACAACTCATTGGATTCTGACAGGAGTGCAAATCAGACATCATGGCTCAAGAAGGCAGTTTCACTCCGCCGTGGGCAAAATATGATGCTGGCTTACTCGATGGTACGGGTCTGATATTCCATAATCTGATATATATTAACTCTTCTTCTAGGACGAGGCTTAGCGATACGCAAATGCAGCTCGGACTTCCTTGCGTCTCTATACATGGCTTGTCTGGACACCTACCGCGTTGACGAAAGACAGCTTCCCCCAGACGTTTCGAAACGCCAACTTGAAGATGTCGTTCGCGAATTGCACAGACTCGTGTCCCATCCAACCCTCTTTTCTAGCCCAGATGTCCAGAAACGCTTTCTTGTATTTCTGGAGTTTGGCGTCACAAAAATGATCTCGAAACGGAAGGATAAGGAGCGCCAAATTGCTATGGACGGCTTCCGGCTACGTGCCAACATACTTGCTAGGCAGGAAGAGCAAATCCTACAAAAAATCAATCGCCCTTCGTTCAAACCCGAACTGAAGCCTTGGGAGCAGTTCCTCCTTAAAGGCAGCCCTGGCAGTGGAGTTGCACTCCCTCCAGCCCCGCTCAACGGCTATGTGCAGGTTATGCCAATTGGGGGTGTGGCTCTCCATTTGAGATGGCTGAGGCAGAGGCATATTGTTGCGAAAAAGTGCAGAGAGGTAAGTTGATCCCCTAGATTTGATATCTTAGTATGCTAAGACAAGTTTCCTTTAGTCGAGGATCCCTGCTACTGCTTCCGTGAAACGGCTTAAGAGGGATAATTCAAGTGTAAGAAAGTCTTTCCCCTAATTATCCGACGTCTATTCTAACTAGATAGTAGGATACGGCTTTCAAGAAGGCACTCCATCCCTCAAGCAACCTTGTACACCGAAACAGCTGGGTATGGGTTGCGCCTCTACCCTTCCATTTAGTTCCATATCTTACATTTCGAATAGGTTGCCCTGACTCCAAACCCATATTACGATGTATGTATCTCTCGCGCCTATATCCAGGCCCCTTGACGATACTAACGTCTAACCAGCGCCGCATGCCTATCCCAAAACATAACAGAGTTGTAGATTGTTTAGAGAGCTTCAATGCTGTAATCGGTGAGGGCCATTTCGCTACCTTTATGAAAAGTGAAGCTAACTATGCTACAGAGCGCCTTGAGGACGACGATCTCACCGACTACAATGGTGAATCCGACGGAGTGAGGGCCATGTTCTACCGCACGACGGTTGAAGATGTAACAGATATGTTCGAGTGAAGTGTTAGAAGCACGCCTTTGGTTGACTGTAACGTTGACTGTTGCGCATATGTACTCTACAACCCAAGGATGGTCATGGCTTATAAATATTAAATAAATCTTCTTTATTAACGGTCGATGAGGACTAAAGCTTCACAGTCTTCGCATAACTCACGTTTGTAACATCGCCTGGTCAATTTAGATTTTCTAGAGAAGAGCTGATTCCGGTTACTCGACGATGGAAACTATGGCCATATATGCTATGACTATACAACGGACATATAACTAATCTACATGTGCGAGAGCATGGAAACCATCACCGCTGCATTCGACTTAACACCTACCTGGAATTTGACGCCGCTCGTCAGGTAAGAAGGAAATTCTAGTTTAGCCAGCCTTTTCAAGAGACTTTAAATTTCTTGGGATAACAAAAACCGCATATTAAGACGAGTATATCCAGGAATAGATGCTGTGGTCGATGATATACATCGATAGGGCTACATGAGCATGTCGAAACTTCTTTTCCATCTGATTCTAGAGTGTATTCTACAGCTGCCTGCATTATATCGGTTGTTACATTTTTATTAGCACTGTGGGTTTTTCTATACCCTCGTTGATCTCGTTTAAAATCGCCTTTCTCCATTACTTAGGCTAAGACAGCTGCTTTTAGATATTATGGAACAGCTTTGATTGCTTCATCGCTTGCTAGTGTATAGTTGATCTATCTACCACAGGAGACCCTTTGCGCTCGCGTGTATATCCCGCCACATCTTGTCCTATCAGTTATCCATACAAGAAGCCATACAAATATGATCTGAGAGCCCAGTGTCAACTTATGTTTACGTAATTAAACTGCCTAAACTCAAAAGCTGTCAAGTACTGAGTTGTACGATCGGTAATACCAGCCTGTATTTAAAGCGGGCGCTTAAATTTTACTAGGGCGAACCAGAATTCCAAAAACAGTGAATCTTATGGTATTACTCTCTTTGTCTGCGAGTTCACCTCCGAGCAACAACACAACTGCTCCCCTCACTTCAGACATCTTCACAAACAGGATTTTCTTGCCCTTTCTCCTGTTTACTGCCATATCAAGTCCTCTGAAGAACCAGTTTACTCCTTTTTACTTCTACCATTTACTCTACATCTCCAATATCAACAAGAAACAGCGAAGCAGATCCCTCCGGCATTTCAAAATGTCTGGAAGCGAAGTCTCTGCTGTGCATCGCGCATTCAGCAACCTGTTGACCACTTTGACACCTGAACAGGTCCAGAAGTTTATGGAAGAGATGAACGCATCTGCAACTACCACTCCGAGCCTCTCTGAAAGCGTCAACTCGACTCAAAACACGAGTGTCTCTACCTCAAAAACCTCTACCACTGCCATGGCAACTCCTGAGCCAATTGAAACTACGACTCGCCCTGCTTCGCGCAAGCGTACTCGAGAGAATACAAAATTAAGACCTTTGAACTCATTCATTGCATTCCGAAGTATGTGATGTGCAGTCTATCATGTCCTGTATGAGACTAATATTTGCATAGGTTTCTACTCTGCAGCATTTCCCGATCTTTCTCAGAAAGTCAAGTCTGGACTGCTTCGAACTCTATGGGGTTCTGATCCTTTTAAAGCAAAGTGGGCAATCGTGGCCAAGGCGTACTCCGTCATTCGCGATAAGCATATAGGACAGGTCACTCTCGAGTCCTTTCTTACATTGATTGTGCCTTTCATTGGAATTGTTTCTGTTGCAAACTATCTCAACGCCATGGGTTTACAGGTTGTCTCGACTGAGGACAAGCAGTTTTCCCTCCTCAAAACCAATCCCAATGCACACATCAACCCGATTGACCTGACTACAAACCTCTCTGTCGATGATGTTGTCCACTATTGCTACCAGGCTGGTTACGTTTCTGGTGTTCACTTGGAAAACACGGCTGGTAACCAAGTTGCAGCAGTTTCTATGGCAGTTTCAGCGCAGTTAACTCCCAAAATTGAGACTACTGAGACCACAACTGCTCCTAAAGCTGCGTTAGGTGGATCGCCCACATCACAAGAAGCTGGAGTTCGTGATGCGGCCTCAAACACAAACCACTTGAACGGAAATGGAACTCCACAAGAACGCCAGCTCGCCATGTCCAGTGCCCCGACCAACGACAATGTTAGTACCCCTCATTCTATGAACAACACTACCATTGCTACTGCGGCTTCCCTCGACAACACAAGAAACACCGGCCCTTACACTGCCGCAGACTTTGAGGGAGAGTTGCGTCGTGCCATGAATGGATTCTCATACAGTGCCAATGACGGTTACTATGAGCTTTTCAACCCTAACCTTCGTGCGCCAGTCAGTGTTTATAACCCATATCGTATCCAGGGAGAGTTCGATGGTTTCGACATCGGGGACTATGTTGATATGTGACGAAATACCCAACCCCTTTGATTTTACGATATACGCGATGGAAAACTGTTTTTTGTCCGTTGATGACCTCAAGTATGGGATTTAAGGATGGATACGACACTGCTTACGATAATGAGATGAATGATAAGAAGGATTGATACGCATATTGGCATCTTTGAAGAGGCACAAGGGAGGGAGTTAAGTTCTGAGGCATCAAGTCCAGACTCGAGTCCGTGGTGGATAGACGTTACCCTGTATGTTATGGAGAGAAAGCATGTACTTTAGACAATTCTAATTAGAACTGAAATCCAAAAATATTGCAATTTTGACCACATTGTTCTCCCATGGCGACCACTTCTCGAACCTGAACAAGCTGCTGAAAGTGCACAGCATCCAGCCGGTGGTGTCTGACTTCTGCCACGAACCGCTGACGCTTTCCGGCAAGGTCGAGATACCCGAACTGGAAGGTGAATTCAAGGACGAGAGCGACCAGCCGAGAGACGCCCACCGCAGCATCTTCCACAGCTACATCAGCCTGCTGGAAGACGAAGCGAACTTCCAGCTCCTCAAACAGATGAGCGCCCATGGACCGGAGACCGTCTACCGCAGCGCCTTCCGCGAGTACTTTACTGGGTGAGTTATTCCCATTTTCCTGTTAAAGAATGTATATACTGACTACTGCTGTAGAGAAGTGACCAATATGATGGAGACGTACTGGCGTCCTGACCCCAAAGGCCGACTGATCCGACACCAGGCCCACGAGCTGTGCTATCAAGCTATCAACGAGATTACATTCCTGGGAACAGCGGAGAGGAACATGCTTATCCGGACCACTGGCTGTTTTCCAGAGGACACCATGGCGTTCTGTGAGTCTCCCTCGATCTATCTATATCTATCTACGAGATGGCTAATGAGTGTGCAGGGACGAGCATGACGAAGAAACGACTGACGTATCTGACGATGAAGGAGATGGCTGGCATACTGGAGGCAACGAAGGTCCAGACAGAGGTCGAGGAAGAGACAGATATTGACGAGATGGACATAGACATGGAAGGAGAGCTTGACTTTGACGGACATGGAGTAGCATAAGAATGTACTATACAGAAACACGTTATCCAACCTTTCTTCATCTCTCCATCTCTTTTTTACCTCTATCTATCCCATCGACCATCTCTCTCTTACTTATATCCTATATCTATGTATGTCCCGCCTGTACCTGCAGCATGTTGTGATGACTAAGTAGGACATATTAGTCAGCCGTAACGGGGCGGGGGCGGGGAGGGCGTTACGAGGCCGATACAAGGGCGAGACGAGCCGTAACTTACGTCCTCTAGTGTGGTGCGTACGGCCGTTACACCCACTTAGCGCCCTTACTAGCGCCGCCTTAGCTTTCTTTCACGGACACAAGGCCTTTGTCTGCTTTCCCAATGCGGACAGCGGGCGGCTGGGGAGGCGGGGAGAAGTTTCTGGCAGGGAGGCTGGTAGAGAAACAATAGTAAGAAGAGGGGTAGAAGAGAGGCTGGAGGCTGAGGCTGGAGGTTGGAGTTGGAGGCTGGGAGAAGTGAGAGAAGTGAGAGAAGAGTAGAGAGACGAGTGTTGGGTGTAGAGTACTCCGTAGAGAGAAGTGTAAGTTGAGGTACCGGGAGATCGACAGGATTAGTAAGCGTATGGACACAGACCAGGCACACAGACCAGCATGCATATATATAGAAACAGGGCGCATAGAGACAACGAGCTCTTACTTCTATACTCTCTGTACTCCGTATGCTCTGTAGCGAATATTCATAGTGAAATACGTGAGCGAGTTGATGCTACCGACAGTCTGGTTCTGATAAGGCCAGGATCAGGCATCGTGCGTCCTGCGTGCTGCATCACATCATGCGAGGTGATGACGGGGGTTCGCCCGGCCAATAGCGACCACTCGTTAACCGCCCAACTCGACGGCCACAGCGACAGCAGTCGTGGACGGGACAGCCATGGTGACAGGTTCTAGAACAGGACTCGTCCACGCATCCGTGCATCAACCTTGTTCCGGTTGCATCGCACAGTGTTAACGTTTACTAGCAGTGTACAAATACGAGCGGAGAGATCATAGGTCAGGAGCATGGCATTAACAGGGAATAGTTGACATTGCTTCGTTAGGATAAACAACACCCGTTCAAAGGAGTAGACTACCGATTCAAACATGAACGCCTGCTCCAGGGATGAAAAAAAGAAAAGGCTTTTTTTGAATATATTTTATTACTTTATTTTTTTTACAGCGACCAGATGAACCTCTAGTTGCCCATGGCACGGCGACGGTCACGCTCCTCGGCAATGGTGAGCTGGAACAACGTTAGTATATAACATATGGTACGATATGAGGAGAATACATACCTTGACACCCTTGCCCTTGGGCAAGCTGATCCATGGCTTCTCCTGGCCGATGACGAAGACGTTGGTCTCGCGGGTAGCGAAGGTGTTGTCGATGGCGTCCTTGATGTGGACGATACCGAATCCACCTTCGTGACGCTCACGGTGGGTGATGACACCAACACGACCCATGTTACGACCACCAGTGGCCATGGCGATCACACCAGTGTCGAACTTGATGAAGTCAGTGATCTTGCCGGTGGCGATGTCAATCTTGACAGTGTCGTTGACACGGATGTTTGGGTTTGGGTAACGGATGCTGGATATATCGTCAGTATATGCAAGAAAAAGTAGATAAGTTCATAATATATGAACGAGTCGTCGTGCTGTTGAACGGAGAGAAACTCTTCGATTCAACAGCCTGATAACCATGGTATATGGTATAAAACCCGCCATCCGTCTCGCAAACTTCAACTTTGATGTCCGTTCGCTCCACGCACGACGGGAATCAACCACACCTTGGTCCAACGACTGAATGACGCATAAAACAAGAGCTGCAAAGACTCACGTTCTAGCATCGTGCGTAACCAAGAATGGGATTCCGCCCTTGCCCAACTGGACACGCTTGACTTTGCCAAGCTTGTATTCGGCCTCCTCGGTCTGGATACGGTGGACGGTGAAACGGCCCTTGGTGTCGTAGATGAGGCGGAAGTTCTCGCCAGTCTTCTCGATGCTGATCACGTCCATGAATCCGGCGGGGTAGGTAGAGTCGGTGCGGACTTTGCCGTCGACTTTGACGAGGCGCTGCATGAGGATGGCGTTGGTCTCGCGGCCATTGAGGGCGTACTTTAGACTGTTCACACACAGCCATGTTAGATGACATCGCGGTGAGGGGTTCAAAAGGAGATCAAGAATAGACGAACCGGTTACGGAGGAAGACAATGAGAGGGAGACAGTCTCTCAGCTTGTGAGGACCGGCGGATGGGCGAGGAGCATAGGCACCGGACAGTTTGTCCAAGAGCCAGTGCGATGGCGCGCTCAAGCGCTTCTGGTGCTTCTTTCTGCCACGCCGTTAGCATTCCATCAATTATAGTCTGTGGATGGCTATACGTACGGTCCACGGCCCATTTTGATGTATCTGTCGACTTTGGAGAGGTGTTGTCGAGAAGTCGTGTGTCGCTGGTCGCTGAGTGAAGAAAAACCCTTGATGCTTTTGCAAAAGTGGCCGCGTTGTGGATTCGTTTGACCTAAGCCCTAACTCTTCCGCATATGGATGCCAAGAGGAATGTTATGTAATATGATATTCTTAGTCAGCTACTTCTTTTTGGCTGCGACTAAGTACATGTGTACGGAGTATAAAGTGTCTATATAAATCCCTTGATCACGGCAGCTTCGGCGTTGAGTATAGAGGATCCGGCTGCTCCAATGATAGTGTTGTGGGAGAGAGCAGCAAATCGGATGTGGAAATGGCTGCCCTTCGCCGCCTCGCGAACACGGCCGACACTCACGGTGTATCCGCCAGCGATATCGCGATCGAGTCGGGGCTGTGGCCGATCAGGCTCATCGAACACTTTGATCGCCTCTGGCGGTGCAGACGGACATCCCAGCTTCTGAGCCTCAGACTTATACTCCCTCAGCGCCTGCACAACTTCCTCTGCACTCGGAGCAGGAGTGTTCTTAAACCGTAGTGAAACAAATGCCATGTGTCCATCCGTAACTCCCACGCGAGTACATGTCGCTCCAACGGTAAGAGTCTGGTCCTCAAACGCAGTAGCGTCGGCGTTAAGTGCTCCCAGGATCTTCTGTGCCTCCGTCTCCAGCTTGTCTTCCTCGCCGGGGATGAAGGGGACGATGTTATCCACGATATCCATGCTGGGGACACCGGGGTATCCAGCGCCAGAGATGGCCTGTTCAGTGAACACTTCTGCTTCTTCGATGGGGCCAAATTTAGCCTGTAGGGCGGCGAAGGGGATAACGACACCAATGACTGCGCAGTTTGAGTTGCACACCAGGAAGCCCTTGTTCAGTTTATACTGTTTCCTCTGGTGTGGGATGAGGTCCAGATGTGAGATGTTGACCGTGGGGACGACGAGGGGGACCATTGGATCCCGACGATAGTTCTTCGCGTTGGAGAAGACGGGTATCTCAGCTTTGATAAATGCCATCTCTATTCCTTTGTTAGCTCAATTCGGCATATTGACGTAGTCCCGTACTGACCAACTTCACCAGCAACGTCGCTATCCAGGCCTGAAAACACAAGATCGCAGTCCTTGAAATCCTCCGCTCGACAATCCCGCACCACCAATGCGCCTAGCTCCTCTGACATCGGCCTTGCTTGTTTCCATCGTGCCGCATCTTTATATTGCTTGCCGGCGGAGCGAGACGAGGCGCCGACAGCGTGCAGTTTGAGGGTAGGATGGTCTGCGAGGAGGAGGATGAATCTCTGGCCGACAGAGCCAGTGGCTCCAAGCACACCTATAATATATATCTTAGATGACAGCGCTTCAATTATCGGGACAATGGTATAGCTTACCGCACTTCTTCTTCTGGTCGACGGGGAGGGAAGCCATTCTCGCTGCTTGACCTGCCGCAACGACGCCGAGAGTCGCTTTCTCCGGTAACAATAGTAAGAAATAAACGACCGTTCGATATAATATATGTCCTTACTCTGCTGTGTCGTGGATGGAAACTGTCTTCATGGGCAACTTTCGTGGTGGGGCATGACTCGATATCTCCGGTCCTCGGCATCGCGACATTTTATGTATGCTATAAAAAAAATTTAATTCCTACGACTTCACATACGACTTCAACCTCGTCTTTTAAGACCTTCTACCTCGCGAGAATGATGCCAATGGGATGAGATATGCGTTGAAGATTCTGTTCGATGAAAGAGAGTCAGCTTCCTTATATATAAAGTGCCTTGAAACTTGCTATCATACAAGCGTTCGAGCTACCGGGTATAACAGGGAAGGTCAAAGAAGTCGTCAAATTCCGGAATAATACGTCAAGATTCATTTTTTCCCCTTTATCTCCTCTTCGCTGGGAGTAGCATCGAAAATCTTGCCTGGGTTTAATAGCCATAACGGATCCAGAGACCGCTTAATGCTCCGCATGACGTTGAGCGTGTCTATCCCCAGCTCCTTGGCCAGGTATTTCTTCTTTCCCAGGCCGATGCCGTGTTCGCCCTATATATTCGGGAAATATCCATGTTAGCTGGAGTTGTCCTCAGGTGGAAAGGCGTTTGGATCGACTTTTACTAACCGTGCAAGATCCATCCATCTCCAAAGCACGATCGACCATATCATGGACGCACTTTTCGATCTTCGCCACCTCTTCCGGGTTCTTCTTATTATATATTATTCCTTCGTGGAAGTTTCCGTCGCCGATATGGCCGATGATACCAGCGAACAATTCTAGCTCGTCCAGGTCCTTCTTCGACAGCTCTGCGAGACACACAGTTAGCAAACCGATCCCTCAGGGGGATACGTGGACTCAACTCACCGATGATATCGGGCAGCCTGGAAAGAGGAACAGCGACATCGGTGGACCAGACGTCGTCCGACCCTTCTTTCCGGAGGGCCAGCATACTCCAGAGAGTCTGCTTTCTGGCGGACCACAGCTCATGGCCCTCCTTGTCCGTCTTGGCGAATTCAAAGGATGTGCTATTATTCTCACTCGCAATCGTCTTCGTCCTGCTGATCGAGTCTGCGACACCGTTGCGGGTGCCAGAGAATTTGAAGAAGAGTGTCGTGGCGGCCTTCCAAGTCCTGTTTGTCCCGCCAGCCCGGTTGATAATATCCATGTGAACATCGTCCAGAATCTCAACACACTGGACCTGCACGCCAGAGCGAATAACTCCCATCGCCACGTTAGCGGCATCTCGTATAGATGGGAACGTCGCAATCCCGACTCTTGTCTCCTCCGGTATGACAGCCAACTTAAGAGTAGCCTCCGTAACAAGTCCGAGAGTGCCCTCTGAGCCAACAAAGATCCCCGCCAAGTTATATCCCGCGGAGCTCTTTCGAGGGCGCTTCCTTGTTTTTATCACTCGTCCATCAGCAAGGACGACGGTCAAGTTGATAACCCAGTCCTTCATGGTTCCGTAGCGGACGGCATTAGTGCCACTGCAATTAGTTCCGATCATGCCTCCAATCTTAGCAGACGGGCCAGGGTCGATTGGGAAGAAGAGACCATGCTCTTTGATCTGCTCATTGAGATCCATCCACTGGATAGACGGCTGGACGACGACGTCTAGGTCGTCCTTGTGTAGTTTCACGATCTTATCCATGTGTGCAAAGTCGATGCTCATACCGCCAAACGGAGCAGAGAAGTTGCCTTCTAAGCTTGATCCCCCGGAGAATGGGATCATGGGCACTCTAAACTTGTAGCAGACCTGTGCGATTCGAGATACGTCCGCCGTAGACTTGGGATATGCCACGGCGACTGGAAGCTGGTCGCAATTGACTGTCGACCATTCTGAGTATCCGTGTAGGCGGAGGTCTTCATCGTCCGTACTAATTGCGTCTTCGCCCAATATCTCCCGCAGCTCTACTATGGCCTGCACCACGCAACATTGTCAGCCTACGGATAGAATGAAGTATGATTGAAGCATGAAAAATAGAAGACAGGCCACCTTTTCAAACTCCTTGACGGAGCCATACACTGGAAGGACCTCGCTGTCCAAAAATCCGAGAAAAGTAGACCCTGAGCTGCAAAGGCCGACAGCATATCCGGCGCTTATAGCTGCAGCGACAGATGCAAAGACATGGCTAGTTCTCCACGAAGAGCCTGAACCCGACCCCGATGCTCCTCTGGCTGAGCTGCTGCTCCAACGACGAGCTGTTCTGAGCCCGCTGTTACGGTATGGCTGCTGCTGTCTGATCGAAAGCCGGACGCCGCGAGGGACCCTGGCCGCGAGCCGAGGCACGAAGCTCATAATTAGTTACTTGGATATATGCAGATGCAGGTCTGAAGCGCTCTGATGCAACGTCCCGATGCATGGAGGGTAAGTTGGGAAGAAATATCTCCGGGCGTCTTATTTATCCACCGAGCCTGATATAGGCCCCTCGGACCTCTCTATCGCGACATCGGCTCGGTTATTTCGCCGGCCGCAATCCATAGCCGACCCCTGCTTGCGGAACAAAACTGCAGCCACTCGCCAAGCCACAACAGCTGAAGCTTCGCAACCTAAATAATATGCTTAAACATAGCTCACCGGGGTGATATAGATACTTTATACGATAGACATTTATGGCGAGGGTGGTGTTGCAAGAGATATTGCGAGCGACATTGAGTGACATTGTAAGTGACATTGCGAGAGTGATATATTGCAGACATGTAACTAATCATAAACCCAACCAACGATATAAGAAATATTAATATAAGAAATCATTCAAAGCCCTTCGACACGCTTGGAGGCGACGAGTCTTTCGCCGTCCTAGTCTCGATGTTGAGAAGAGTGCTCTCCACGGCAGCTTGTATGTCTATATGGAAGAATGGCCGGTGGATGCTGTGCACATTCCCAACCCTCTTGGGCAGTGTATTTGACTGTGGGACGGCGGTGACGTGGGTAGAGACGCCATGGTTCTTCTCGTCGTCGAGATCGCCATCCTCGGATGGTGCATGACCAATCTCCAAGTCATCTTCTGTGCTGGTAGGATTGGTTGTGTGTGCCCTCTGGGATGCGTGAGTCTTCTCATTTACAACTTCCTCGGCGCCAACAGCAGCGACACTGAAGATGGGTTTCCAGTTGCCGAGCAGCTCGGGAGTCTTGGGAGATGGGTAGCCAAAGCCAGCGGAGGCGAGAGCACGTTTTGTCCATCGGTTGGAGATGCAGGCGAAGTGCCACTCAACTATCTCGGGAGCGGCATAGCGGTCAAGCTGGTTACGGACGTCGATGAGACCTTGGATAGAGGAGACATCAACGTGGTTGACGGACGAGAAATCGATGATTATAGCGCGGAGGATTGGGCGGTTGTCGTTGACATTGACGACTTCACCACGTCGGGGGCCAGGATCGTTCCATGGGCGGTCCTAGACATTGGTTAGTATCTTGTTATAAAAGGATAGAGAAAGAATTTCGAGTTAGACATACCCCAAGCTTCGCAAAGGTGTCGAGTTGAGTGCGCCTTGTCACTTTGAAGATGTACTCCGTCAAGCTGTGGAGATAGCGGCCTTCGTTAGGATAGGTGAATCCTTCGTTGAATCGATAGATGAAGACACCTGGGTGAGGAGACTGTGCCTCGATCATCGGATTCGAGCCATCTTGATGCTCGACTGGCAAGAATGCATCTCTCGAGGTCAGCTTGGTGTCTTCACGATATGACCTGTCACCCTTCCTCATGCTGTCGTCCTTGGTTACACGGTACACCTTGACCTGGCCCAGGAAAGTTCCCTTTGCCTTGGCGATGCGGTACAGGAGCAGACCTGCAGAGGCGGCGATGGTAAGGTAGATACCATTCTCAATTTCAGTGAAGATCGTGGCGAGCACACCTCCAAAAAAGATGAATACCTCGAGAGGCGAGACTTCCCAGAATTGGTAGACAACATTGGGAGGAGTGATCAAGTCACCGACAGCGTGGATAATCAAGCCAGACAAAGTAGCAAGGGGGATATAATAAAACACAGAAGTCAAGGCATAGAGTGCTAACAGAACAATGGCAGCGGTAAAGATACCAGCGAGCGGCGTACGGACACCGGCTTTGGACTTAATGGCAGTTCGCGAAAAGGATCCAGTGGCAGGATAGGCACCAAGGAAAGGCCCGAAGAGGTTGGTGAAGCCAATGGCAACTAATTCCTGGGAAGGGTTGATGACATAGTTGTTGATTCTTCCGAAGGATTTGGAGATGGCGATGTGTTCGATGATGAGGACGATGATTGTGGCTGGTAAATCCGGGGCAAAGGACTTGACCAGTCTTGCATCAATACTGGGCACACCTGCGTGTTGGAAACCTGTACAACATGGGAGGTTAGTAAATGGCAGAACTCGGCGGACAATTGAAAGAGACATACCCTTGGGAACGGTTCCGAGGATCTTGAACTTAGCCTTCTTGTAGTCTTTGATATCTCTGTTGACCAGCCAGCTGATCATGGTATACAGCAAGATGACAAAGGTCATTCTCAGGGTGGAGATGAAGAACCACATCTTGCGTCTGTTGGGCTGTTTCTTGGACATGAAGTTGCAAAACGCTCTGATGCCATAAAGAAGAACCAAGGCACTCAGTCCCATAGCTGCATCGAGCCTGGTGTGCTTGAGGTTCTTGAAGATGTTGATGAAGACCTTGTAGGTTGACTCTCTGTTGTTTACTTCCTTTAGGCCCATCATGGCAGGAACCTGGCCAACGGCGATGGAGATGGCAGCACCGGTCATAAAGGAGGTAATGGCGACCAAGGGGATGAACTCGACGATCCAGCCGAGTCTGGTCAAGCCGATGAAGAGGAGGACTCCGCCGGCGACGAGGGAGAGGCCTCTGGCGATTTGTGGTGCTGAGATGTCGGGTTCCTTGGCCTGGACCTTGGTGACGATGTTTCCGACAATGGTAGACATGACCGCAACAGTCTGTCAGGTTAGTATATCCGTTCAAGGCAGAGAGAGAGAGGGTGAGAAGGTAGCTTACTCCGATAGTGATATCTTTTGAGGTGGCAAAGGCCCAGTAGAGGATGAAACCGACAAAAGAAGTGTAGAGTCCATACTCTGGGGGGAGTCTGGCTAGCAGGGCATAAGCCATACCCTGGGGCACGACGACGAACCCGACAGTGACACCTATAGACGTTAGCAGGAGATAATATAGGAGAGATACTTGAAGAGTCTTACCAGCGATGATGTCACCAATCAGCCATTGGGTGTTGTAGTGGAAGATCCAGGACCAGAAAGGGAAGAGAGAATTGAAGTAGTAGGAAACACCGGCAGCAGTTGGCCTGTGGTTCATCAACCACTCCTTGGTCGACGGCTCATCTTCGTCAAAGTGCTCCAACGACCGGATAGAGTCAGCAGCCGAACGCATCGACTCCTTGGGCTCCTGTCGATAGTCGACATCGATGCCCACCCCCTTGGCCAATGCACGTCCGAGTTTGCTAGCAGACATGATGTAGATGAAAGAAACTGCTCTGCTGGATAGATTCCCTCTTCCTGGCGGTACTTCTCGAGATATTTATACTATGTTACCTCAACGAGAAAACGTCTCGCGAGACGGTGAAACCTTGGCGATGGCAGCGCTGTCCATGTGGTTAGAGCCGTGCAAGCCCGCCAACGCTAACGGTACGACGGGGGGTCCGGGAATGAAGCAGAAAGCGAGAAAGGGGAGCAGGAGACGCATCTTTGATAGAAGGAAAAGGGCCCTTGTAGCGTCATACATGGCGGGCCTGTCGTCAGCTGCGCTTGGCAAGCGAGAAGCTCCTGGTGCAAACTTAATGTTTTGGGCATGGAAACCTTGAGTTCAGACCACGATCGTCGTCCGGGGAGTTTCTTTCCGGCGTCCTCGTACGCTGCTGTAGACTGGGCTGTAGACTTGCCTGTAGACTGGACTGTAGACTGATAGACGATGAGATGAGCCTCGAGGTAGACTTAGCCTGGACTGAGACTGAGACGATGAGATGAGACTGAGATGATGAGACAGACTGAGAGATGAGACCGTGTAGACAGGAGTAGTCCTATGGTAGCCCTATGGCCCTATGGTATGGTGTATGGTGTTGTGTCAGTAACCTAGTATACTCCGTCTAAAAGCGCCATGCGACGAGATGTAAGAGATGCGCCACCGGGGAAGAAGAAGCCTTGGAAATATTAAACGAGCCCTTGGAAGTCTTGTCTCTGCCTCTCGTCTTGTCCCTCGCCTTGTCTCTCGTCTCTCTGTGGCTGCGATGTCGTGATTTCAAGTCCTGCGCCAGGTGGAACATAGAGTTGGCCAAGTGTTCCTTATCTTTGGCCACATCTCTATCCCTGTGCCCATTCGGGAAAACTTCGGTGAAGTTCCTCTGCATCTAGAGATGTATATATTCGCTTTTTATAGACACGGGACGCTGGCAGATCACGATAACTGGTCGTCTTCCGCCTTGGCCTGGAGCTGGAGCTGTTAACGTGGTGTCCCGGAAACTAGGATAACTTCCCGGTAGGTTAACGCATACCACGATGCCATGCTCAAGCCATGAGGCAGAGGCATGGCATGGCATGAGCATGAAGCAGAAGCAGAAGCATGAAGTCTCGGCCAAGCTCACTCAAACAGCGGTGGAACGCTTCCTGCGTCCTCCTGGTAGCATCGAGTACGAGCCGGCCAAGAAAGACAGTTAGATTAACCAGCCGTTGATAAAAATCCAAGAACAGAGACGGCCTATTATCGTGATCGTCCCAAAAGAAACCGACTTCTCGTGACGGCTTCATAAGACTCCATGACTTATCGCGAGCTCCAGATGGAGTTGACGGTGAGTATTTTGGTATACGATGCGCCTGAAAGCTTCATCCCTGGCCTCCCGAGCCCCGGGGCGTGTCCGAGCCCATCAGAATCCTCCTGCTCGCGTCCCCATGCGACGCCCGTCTGCCCGTTAGACGCTAGGGAAATTAGCTATCCAGTTCTCTCGGCTGGGGAGCTGGATAGCATCACATTGGCCCAGGGAGCTGACTAACGGCGCTATTTCACGACTGTTCAGGCCGTCCAAGGCGCTGCCCAGCACTCGGCATGGGCGCGATGTGGGAGACGGCATCGGGCATCGGTAGAGAGACACACTTCGGCATCGGGACGGGTAGAGATCAGTCGGTTGTGAGCTGTTGGTGTCCTTGTTAGTTCGTTGTTGCTACCCCTGTTGGGACACGAGGTGAAGCGACGATGCGCCACTGCGATGCCCGGCTGAACGGATACTTGGGGGGATGCTGATCTCAGCAGTGAGGTGTATAGAGTACGGAGTAGTTCAAGTTCATGGGAGCGGACGCTGTATATATATCTCTTTTCAGGGATTTACTCTGCAGGGTCTCGGGCGATATATACGGGGTGTTCTCCCGGCCGAAGAACGAGCTGCTCTATATATCACCAAACGCGCTCGTTTTGAGTCGATGTAGATGCTCATTTCTCATCTCTAGCATGGACTATAGAGGCATACGGAGTAGACCGTACATAAAGGACCAAGATACTTGCCTTCATGGACCCTCCTGCTTGGCTGGAGCCAGAAGCGAACAAGATCATGCTTATTTGCTTTTTTCAAGGCCTGCCGAGAGAAATATGCTTCCGGATCTGTTCGATGTTAAGCCTATATTTGCTGAAGAATGCCACAAGTATGGGAGAACGAGTATGAACAACTTGATTGGATTAAATATTACACGTCAGGCACGATATACCTAGAAGAAACGATGGAACATGCGCTTCCAGAAGGACGAGTTCCGGATCACTTCGATCTGGCGGTTGTGTTCTTCCCAGTCGATCTCTCTGCGGCCGGTGTCGACGTCGATGTCTTCGATCCTGGTCCATCCCTCACGCTTCCACAGCCAGCCGCAGAGCCAGAAGAAGAGGACGACGGGGAGGGCGAGGTAGGACTTGAAGAAGCCCTCCGCCGAGGCGGCGCCTTTAAGTGGAGAAACAGCGATATAGAACTGTATATGTCAGTTAAGAGACCTTGATAAACCTTGATGAGGGCTACATACCTGGGCGATGAAAACTATGAAGATGATGAACAGGCCGACCCATGATCCATACACGCCAAAGAACGCCTTGAATGGGATCTCGTCGAGCGAACGCCCCTGGCGTGCCCAGGCAGCGCGGAAGCGGATGTGCGCATAACATATCTAAACCGTCTCCACGTCAGCCTAAATTTACCCAAAAAACAATATGATATCCGGGGAAGAGAGGATGCAACTCACGCTGCCCCAGGTAAACAGAGCCGTCAAGCCAGAGAGCGCCTGGAGCCAATCAAAGATGACAGGCCCCTTTCCGGAGACATTTACATACGCCAGGGCACCAAAGACTATGACGAGAATGGTCGATGGAAGCGGCCTGCCCGCCTTGTCGACGTATGAGAAGATGCGAGGAGCATACCCATTCTCGGAGATGGCTGTCAGAGTTCGAGATCCGGCATAGACAGCAGAGTTTCCGATAGACAGGACGGAGATGAGGATGATGACGTTGATGAAGCTGTCGAAGCCCTTGAGACCGGCGTCCTTTGCTGCAATAACAAACGGAGATGCGTTTGAATCGGAATACGTGTTGGCGCCAAGTAGTCGTTTATCGTCGCTCCGTACCAGAAGGCCAATAAAGAAGAGGCCAAGGATATAGAACAGGATGATTCGCCAAAAGACCTGTTTGATGGCGGATGGGAGGGACTTGAGAGGCGTCTTGCTTTCCGCTGCCGCGAGCCCAACCAGCTCAGTGCCAAAGAAGGCGAATGCAGCAGTGACGAAAACAGAGCAGAATCCTATTCACCCAGTTAGCTGAAGTCAGAAACCAACCTGCTGACCAGAAGATGCATACCTTTGAAGCCGTTGCGGAAAGCCCCTGGATCATACCACAGCCTGGCTCCCCAGTAGCTACCGTACAGGCCGTCACTGGGACCGCCGCCGCAGGTGAGCACGATGGCAACGATCATGAAGATCACGATGGCCGTGAGTTTGATTGCGCTGGCCCAGAATTCCTCTTCGCCGTATCCAAGCACTCCGAAGATGTTTATGATGACGATGGCGATCAGGAAGACTGTTATCCATACGGCGACACTGATGTTGACGCCCCAGTATGTTATAGTCAACGACGTCACCGTCAGCTCAAGCGGGAGAACGACCAGCCACTGAAAGACATAATTCCAGCCCATGGCGAAACCCCATGCCGGCGAGATGAACCGAGCCGAGTATGTATAGAATCCGCCAGAGACAGGGAACAGGATCGCCAGTTCACCGAGCGCATACACGACATTGAACATCATCTTGAACAACCAGTATTAGCATCAGTCTAGCACGAAGATGATGGGAATCAGTCTAATATGAAGTTGATGGGAAACATACTATACCAATAATCGCAAAATCAATGACCAGCGATGCCGGACCGCCCTTTGCAAGCGCAGACCCAGAGCCGACGAACAAACCAGCACCAATACTCCCGCCAATTGCTATCATATGTAGATGTCGGGACTTCAGGGTCTGATTCAGCTGGTTCCCGCCCACCAGACGCCGCCTCTTGAACGATTCCGGCGTACATCCCAGCCGTGTCCAGAAACCAAGCTCCTCGCCTTTCTCCGGCACCATGTCAGAGTCAGAACCCTTCTCGTTCACAGTGAACGGAGCGGCATCCTCAAAGGAAACGCCTTCCGCCTTTTCGGTCGCCATCAACGCGGTTTATATACAGCTATACCGATAGTTCCAATGCAGAGCACGCGATCTCTGCCTGAAGTCGGCGATGGTATGGAAAGCGTGGGAATTTGGGGAAAAGAGGCAACGGAGAGAACTGGATTCTGGAACTCTGTGTGTGGGGGAACCAGAGCCCTTTTAAATTCGCCTCTGCCCGCTCGAGGCAAGATATACGATATATGGGACCCGAACCCCAGAGATCCAGCTCCTATCTCTTGGTCTGGGCAGCTGTATAGTATGTGGAGTGCGGATTCCAGCCGCTTTCTCGTCTGTTTCTGTTTCTACGGAGTATAGGAGTTATACTTACTACGTCACTGGAAGCCACTTCCCTATATATAGAGCTGCCATCTGGCCTTCCACCTATATACTACACAGTACATGTCCCTACTCTACCTTCTTCCATTCTTCTACTCTACCGTCTCTCCCTGGGCCATTCCCAGGCCATATCAACATCCGGGACTCGCATCCTCATCTTGCGCCTTGATTTTATTTTGACCCGAGGATAAAGCGAAAACTCTATCTTTTCCAGCCAAGATAAAATTCCTTCTAGAAAACTTTAAGCTTGCTTTCCACGCCCTTGCCTCTTTGGGAAATCGCTTCCCTATTCTCTATGTTACAGTATTATCTATGTATAGTATTCTCTATATTATGGTATTCTCTGCTAATAGTATCTAAATGTCTGCACAGGATACCACTTAATTGAGGCTATGATCAGAACTATTCAGACACGAGTGAGGAGTGGAATCGTGAGCTGTTCGGTGTGGACCTTGGCGAACTGTCGGAGTTCATATCAAACTACGGAGTTTGGAGTATGGAGTACGGTGTCAGAGAACAGGCGGCTCGGCTGTCACCCTCCACTTATAAACCGCGGTCAGACTCCCTACTTCTTCCTTTTCGTGGTCTATGCTATTCTATGGCCAACAGAGGCCGTAGCAGTGAGATTGTACGAGATCGTCTGCAATTCCGCTGTGCAAGTATACCAGGGTACTACCGGCTATCTCGAAGGGCGGAAAACTGCTCCACTCCGCCAAGAGAGATGCCATGATAGCTCTCAAACACCAGCCCAACATTGCTGCATCTCGACGCATTTCTCAGCAGCGGAACTGCTCATGAGATGTCCATTGGTTGTGCGGCAGGTCGTGGTCTCATGTCTGATTGTGACGGGTAGATGGCCGCAGTTGGAAACCAGGGACCCCTTTGCTATTTGGCTTCCAGGTCTTCTTCACTTGTTGTTTGTGCTCTGGCCCATTTTGCGGGCCCACGTCCGCTCTCATGGAGCAACTCCGCTGTATCGGCGTAGAGGAAGATGTATTGCTCCTTATATCCGGGATTCTTAAGTGGCGAGGTCATGTTATTCGCTAGCCGAAAATAGAGCAATACTTGGATTGTTTCTACCCCAGGTCTAGTCCACTGCCTGCGCTGTAGTAATGTTTGCTAGACAGTGAGTCATCTAGCCCTGTCCATTCCGAATCTTAGACGATAGAGTACTTAAGTAGGGTATGGCCTCGGTGGTGCTCTTCTATGCCGTGCAGATGCGCCGTACGGAGGACACTTGCATGACATCGTATAACGCACCAACGCGTTGCATGGTCAGGCCAGCACCGATCCCTTGGGAAGTCCCCATGCATCTATCCGTGCATTCTCGCCGTTTCCTTGCCGTTAACGCACGCTCGTTACGCCGTTACGCAGGTGTAACTGCAGACGTTGATACCTCCTCCTGACCCGATGGATATCAACCCGTATTTTGAGCTTCTACCCCAGCAGCAGATGACGCTGGTGCTATGCATCAACAGGGAGCTAACCGCCGTATCGCTATCCGGCGCGTCCTCTTGACGCCGTCCTTCTGCAGCTTCAGCGTGAAGAAACCTTCGCTTGCCCTAAGATCGTCTGGCGCCTTGGCGACTCCAGCCCCTTAATCCCGTTTGCCACAAAGGGCAATTTTTTTTCCCCTTCTCGCGATTTGTTGATGGTCAGGCAAACAAAGACAGTCAACGCGTCGTTTGTTCCTCTGAACTTCAATTTTTAATTGAACCAGCTCCGCAGATTTGTGTGTTGAAAAGGAAAATACCACGCTGATTTCCGAGAAAGCAGCCTGTAACTGCTGTTGGCATGAAACAGTCACGCGTTCTTGGTAGTGTTATATTGATGATGATTGCCCCGGCTGCCAAATAACTTCTAATATGTTTGTCTGGGGGAAATAATGGTGCTTAGAACTGGATCTTCCCCTTCCAGGTCAAGGCCCTCGCAATAAGCTACACCATTGACACTGGGACGAATTTCATTGTCATCTCTCTCCTTGGATCTGGCTGGCGAAGCAGCTATTATTGTAATGCTGAGCTGAATCGAAGGATCTTTGTCTGGGCTAGAGTCAACTTCAACAAAGCACTCTGCTTAGTGAACGTGTAGGAAGGGATTGTGTTGCTCTCTGTCCTGGAAAAGAGACAATATAAAATATTCCCGTTGCATCATCATCCTTGCTTCTATCCTGGTCAGCTTTATACATCACGTCAGGTTGGTGTCAGGGGCCTGTCCTTATCTATATGGATAGTGTGCAGAACAGAGACAACTTCACTCTAGGATCAAAGTGAAGAAGTGCCAGGGAGATGGGTACCGATACTGTAAGGCGTCTTTCATCTTTATACATCTATCCATATGTTTGTCGTCTGCTGTTTGGTTCATCGGCCTCCTTCAAGTGACGCACAACAAACCGAACTTCTCACCCTCTGATATCCCCTTGCTTGGTCCCCTTGAGTGCCGGTTGACCCGTCCTTCCCGTTACCCTTAAAATATAACCCGTCAGCTAATATCAAATGCTGTAACCTCGTAGCTTTCCGTGGCAGCAGCCGCAGCCACCGCAGCAGCAGCAGCAACTGATACCCATGTGAAGAAACCACCCTCAAAACCGCCAAAACAAAAGGGTAAAAAGGAGCTCCAGCTCCAGACATCGGCAAAGGCCCAGCTGAAGGGAGAGATAGGACAGGCGAGGGTTACGAAATCAGTCAAAGTGGGAGTGGTGAAGACTTCGAATAAACAAAAGAAACAGTCAGCCTCTACCAAATCTCAACCACAGCCATCTACGATAGCAGCAACAACACCAACAACACCAAAGGCTCTGCGAAAGGCAAAAGACACACACAAACCCTCGCTCGCTCAACACAAAGCTGGATCCTTTAAAACAGACCAACGGGCTAATACTGCTTTCCATCAAGCAAAGATGAACCAGTTCAGTGGTCGAGGAAAGTAAGTTGACACTGCAGCCACTCCCTGATATTCAAAGTGGTCACTTCATCTTGATCAATCTCTTCACTTTCTATACACTGCAACACCTAACCAACCTTCACTTACCAGACATTCACATGGTGGTCGAGGCGGCCCAATGAACTACTCCAATGGCTACGGCCGTCCCCAGGCTGGTTTTCCGCCCGGAATATACGCCCAAAGCCCACGGTCTTCAGCCTCTGCCATGATGGAGCGCGTCAAACCATCGCATTTGGCCCCAATATGGCTTTCATGGGAGTCTCTCGCGCTCACTTCTTCGAACTTACCCCTCAACGTATCTACACTCACTCTTTGGAAGTCCTTCAGTACCTGTGGAACTGTCGATTTCATTGAATTGTTCGAGGACAATCGTGGCAATAGAGAAGGAAGAGCTAGAATTCGTTTCAAGTTAGTCTCGATATATATGCAATAATGGTTGTTCCATGATGTTTTTTTGCTAACATTGTAAAGACCGCCACCAAAGGAGCGTTTCTGGCTCGACGGGCGGCATATGCTGGAGCTAGACGATGGCCAACGTATCGTTATTCCTGTCCGTGTTGATACCTTCAGACGGAGAAAGGAAGTACCCAGCCCAGTGGACCCGAATACCCTCTATCCTCTAGATCTCGTTAGTAGCTCATCTTCCCTACTATATCCAATAGCCTAGAGCTAACAGTCATTCCAGGAAGCTGTGGGTAGATCTTTGGACATTGGCTGCCTTTCCGGCCCTCAATCCATGCTCACAATGAGGACAATCACCGCCAGCTTCCAAGATCATATTCGCTTCGTTGCAAATTTGCAACGTCGAGAAATCAACATCTTCTTCCAGATGACGAAACTGGATGCTCGTTCATCTATTGGCTCTCCACCAATAATTCAAAACTACCGTATCCGCATCCCATTTGTCCACCTCTCGCGTATTCAGCGTATATCCGAGGGCGAGGAAGTATCTTTTATTATCTCATTAGATTCTCCGCCATTATATCACCGGAAATTACAAGATGTTACGTCAACTTTCTCCGAGACTGAAAATATGTGGCGGTCTGACGATACTTGGTACCGCCAAACTGATATCGTCCACAACCCAGAAGATCTGATACATGCCAAAACTAGCCTTAGAAAGGCCCAGCCTGTCATCAATATTGGTCTGTAATTGCCATCTAGTTTTTATATTTAAGCAGCTTGAGACTGACAAACAGAGTTCCAGGGCGTTGGACAACCTTTAGACTCACATTCCACCTCCCCGACGAGGATAATGTTAAGAATCTAAAAACGCTTAGCAAGATCCTGAAGGACTTCAATGTCGAGGTCATCGACGTTAACGATTTTACGTTTGAGAGACAGTCCCCCACAGCGCCTCTTGCATGGCGGTGGATTGATCCTCCTTCCACTTATGCGTCCAAACGTACCTCATCACTCGAGGATCTCGCAGAGAACGAATATACCCATATTTCATATGCCGTGCGGTACCAACTTGAAGTATGCATTTCTCATGGCTACCTAAGCGAATATACCATAAACCAGGAATTTGCCAAACGACTTAAATCCCTTGGAGAACGCGATGCTAGAGATTTACTAGAGTATATCGCCCATGAAAAAGTTGTGTATAATGACCCAATGAAGATATTTAATATTGAGTTCTTCTCTGGTGTCACCAATCGAAGAATCCCGAAATATTGTTGTTACATGCGATCAGCAACTGTGACCCCCTCCACGATCTATTTCCACACGCCTACAGTCGATACATCCAATCGTGTCATAAGGCACTACATTGAGTATGCAGACCGGTTCCTTCGCATTCGCTTCACAGATGAGAAGTATGAAGGGAGAATTAATTCAACCTACAACAATTGCATGGATGAGGTATTCACACGCGTAAAGCGGACAATGACGAATGGAATCACCGTAGGAGATCGACACTACGAATTCCTGGCCTTTGGAAACTCTCAATTCCGAGAACATGGTGCATACTTCTTCGCGTCCTTGCCCAACCTTACTGCCGCCAACATTCGCGCATGGATGGGTCATTTCAGTGATATCAAGATCGTTGCAAAGCACGCTGCTCGATTGGGTCAATGCTTTTCAACTACGAGAGCAGTCACTGGCTGTCCAGTGACTGTCCGAGAAATTGATGAGATTGAGCGTAATGGGTTCACATTCTCAGATGGAGTAGGCCGTATATCCAAATTCCTGGCACAGATGATTATGACTGAATTTAAGCTGCGAACACCGTCCGAGGAGCCTCCCTCAGTATTTCAGTTTCGACTTGGGGGTTGCAAAGGAATTCTTACTGTCTCTCCCGAGGCTCAGCGCCGAGAAGTTCACATCCGGAAAAGTCAGTATAAATTTGCAGCAGTTCACAATGGTCTCGAGATAATTAGGCATTCTCAATTTGCGAATTCTAGTCTTAACCGTCAACTCATTGTGGTTTTATCGGCACTGGGGGTGACAGACGATATTTTCATCAAAAAGTTACGCTTAATGCTTGAGAATCTACAAGCTGCAATGACAAGTGAGACGAAGGCGATGGCTTTACTCCAAAAATATGTTGATCCCAACCAGATGACCATTTTAATTGCACACATGGTCCACGACGGTTTCCAGGCTTCTCGCGATCCATTCCTTACATCGCTACTGGAGTTGTGGCGTGCATGGCAAATCAAATACCTCAAGGAGAAAGCAAAAATTGTCATCGAGGACGGAGCTTGCTTATTTGGCTGCCTTGATGAGACTGCAACATTGAAGGGCTATTACGAGAAGAAGCGCCCTGCAGCCGATGCAACCTACGAGGAGAGATTAGATCATCTTCCGGAAATTTTCGTGCAGGTGTTCCGTGCTGAAGAAGAGAAGAAATATACCATCATCGAAGGGCCGTGTATTCTGGCGAGAAATCCTTCGCTGCACCCAGGAGATATACGTGTTGTTAGAGCCGTCAATGTCCCGGCACTCCATCACCTAAAGGACGTTATCGTTTTTCCGCAGACTGGTGACCGCGACATTTCAAGCACATGTTCAGGTGGTGATTTAGATGGTGATGACTACATCGTCATATGGGATCAAGATCTTGTACCAACGCCTAAAGATTGGTTCCGCGAACCGATGGATTATACAGCATCTAACGCCCAGAGCCTGACCCGTGGTGTCACTGTCAATGATATAACTTCGTTCTTCGTCACCTATATGAAGAATGACCGCCTACCACAAATTGCCCATGCGCACCTTGCCCTTGCGGATTATTTGGAGGACGGAGTAGACGATGAAAGATGCATCCAGCTAGCGCAGCTACACTCTGCAGCTGTCGATTACAACAAGAGCGGAATTCCAGCTAACATGTCTAGGGACCTGGTTCCAAGGAAGTGGCCACATTTCATGGAGAAGAAGTACAAACCGAAAGAAGCGCAATATCAGTCGAAGAAGATCCTCGGTCAACTTTACGACATCGTCGAACGCGTTGACTTCCGGCCCAAGCTAGAAGCCCCCTTTGATGAGCGTATCCTCAACTGCGAAATTGCTGTCAGCGAAGATATTTTAAAGATTGCAAAGAAGATGAAGGTTCTTTACGACGCTGATATGCGTAGGATTATGGCACAGCACGAAATTAAAACTGAGTTCGAAGTTTGGTCGACCTTCGTGCTGGGGCACGCGAACATGAGCAAGGACTATAAATTCCACGAGGAGCTTGGACAGATCTCGTCTGCACTACGCGACCGCTTTTTAAAGATGTGTCACGATGAAGCAGGCGGAAAAGATTTCCAGCATCTTGCTCCTTTGGCAATTGCAATGTATAGGGTGACAGCTGAGCAGGTGGCGAACGCTTTGGGCAAAGGAGAACCCTTCGAGGGGCCTAGTGACATCCATGGTACCAAAAGGGAGTACAGGCGTCCTAATGATGACCAGTTGCCTCTGATCAGTTTTCCCTGGGTACTTCACCATGTGCTTGGAAAGATCGCCAACCGCCACTTCGATGATACAGGAATCAACGACGCCGGAGGAAAATTGGCAACGTGGTCCTCAAAGGCCTACGAGCAATCGAGAATTCGACGAACTCAGGGTGTTGATGACGCTTCACATGACGTCGAAACGGCTGGAGGAATACAGCATGCTGGGGAAGTTTTAGAACTCTTCCAGGAGGACTTGGACTTCGACCCCTTTGGCGGTCTTGGGGATGCATTTGAACCAAATGAAGTGGGCAAAGAAACAAAGGGTCCGACAATCAGCATAGAGACAAACAGGACAGTGCCACAATTAGACACAGAGCACTCCGATAGCTTAATCGACTTGGATGACGACATACTCACCCCCACGACTCCCTCCACACTAGAATCAACAAGCCGACGAGGGTCAGTCCCAATCGAGGAGGGTTCGAGTCTACTGGATATTTGCGATGAAACCTCTCCAGTCATATCTCCCGAGCAAGAAGTTACGCAGTCAAATATCCAAGCAGTGCCCTTGCAACCGCAGGACCAGAAGAGTCAATCTTCATTGGCAAAGATGGACACAGTACCTTCGTTCCTCGATGCCACCATCGAGGGCGAAGTGCTGTTCGAAGACGAAGAAGTGGAGGAAATCATGGATGAGATGATGGAGGACGATGGTGATGTTAATCCGTCTGCAGTCAGTCAGTTAGAGGCGCTCCTACAGGTCTAAACTAGAGACCGGGCCCCCTTTGGCGGTTATAGCATCCTGGACACCGACTGCAATTTCAATGGCGTAACGTTCTTATGGGATAGGGTGGTATAGTTTATCGATTTCGGGGTATTATGATGCATTCTTCGATATACCCGGCTAGATCCTTTATTACCTATTAGTTAGTTCAATATAGCGAGCCTAAATGCCATTAAACTATAAACAATAATCTATAAAGGTTCTCAGGGCCCTTCTACGCTCAAGACTTGTACATTACTTGGCTGTCTTGATAGCTAGCTACAGGCAGTACTTTAGTCCATAACATGTAACGTCATAGCTATGATCTGTGAATATCTTCGTGCCCTTGCGTCAAATCCATGGTTGCGGGGATCTTATTTGATCTGATAAGAACCCCAGTTGGTGTTGACCTTTCTAGGTTTGGAGGCAATCTTTGTCCACCATCGCCATAGCTCTTTGGTCTGAAGCCTCTGCCCGTTGTTTTCACAGATACACTGCCTCGATATAACCAAGAACTCCTGTACAGTCTTTGAAAAGTGAGTTAGAAGCTGCAAAAACAAGATGTCTTCGCCAACGGCACCGTTATTGGCGCCATACACAGCCCCGCCACCTTATCAGTCGCTACACCTTATAACATCAGTCCTTGGATCAACGAGCAATTGGCTAGTTCTGAGGTGTCTCTGTGATACGCTACAGTTGTCTTCGCAGCGTCGAGGAAATATTGATGGCCTAGAAGGCGACGTTGGGCTTGAAGGGGGAGATAATGAGGGCAGAGCTGCTAAAAAGCGCAAGGTTGTGCTTGTTAGCTTCCTACGTGGATGGGAGTTCTGGAGAGCAGAAGCAAGGAGGGTGGTATGGTTATTCCTGCTTGTGCTTTATTATTACCAGACAGTGCTAATCTCTCTGCTTTAGGGCCTCGATTTGAATAAGCTAGTTAGAGAGGGAAGATTCTCGTTCGTCGACGGAGTAACAGATCTATTCTCTCCTGTGCTTGCACCACAGTCGCCGAAGCCTATAGTGCCAGGAGGAGCGTTGGCTCCCTTGTCCCGACCTCGAAAAAGCTCAGTCTCATCGCCGTCTTTTCCATTGCCAGATAGAACACCTCCAAGCCCATCACAAGCTTCTCGCGCCCCTAGGCCAGGCCATATATCTCTATCTGGACGAGTCAACCCGTTGCTTGCTCGCCCAACCCCTCCTACGCCTCCTATTTCTGCCACACCTTCTACAACATTTGCTTCAAATACACCGACTTCCGGAGGTGACAGTCACCGGAATCCGAATACAAGAACGCTCCGTTGGGCAGCCACTCCGGGAAACGATGGTGGCCTGGATGGAGTCGAGAAGGTCATTGCCTCTGCAATAGATGATCTCTGCAGAGGACAGATGAATGGGGATAGGTCTGAACAAGCTGGAGAGGATGAGGTCCTTCTTGTTCTCGACCAGCCGGATTTTCTACTTGCCGCAACAGGCTCTAGTATGCGTGTTGGTGCCACTGAGATGGGCGAATTGATCATGGGATTGAGACGTGTATGTTTCATTCTCCTACTCTCTACTTACTTGTGGGATTAATACTAACATGGAATGCACGTAGCTCGTCCATTCTACGATAGTTACTGTGGCGGCTGATTCACCACTTATGCACAGTTCCCAACAGCCCACGCCGTTGGAGATAGAACACTCGGCATTAGTAGTTTCATTAGCCCACCAAGCACAGATGGTTCTGCAGCTGAGAGGGCTAGACACCGGCGTGGCGAGGGATGTTAGTGGAGTGTTGCGTGTGAGCAAAGGGGGGCCGTTGGCAGATACAGATACCCTTAAGAACGAGGAAGGTGGAAGCTGGGAAGAGAGAGAAGTTCTGTACTTCGTCCAGGGGGACGGATCAGTGAAGGTATTCGGGCGTGGTGAATAGACTACTATACCATGGTGCCATGCTGGATAGAGAAGATGATTTTTGAGACTCGTTTTGATTGACATCTACAACGGAACGCGGCTATAAGCTTCAAGATTTCATGAAGCTACTTTGTAAAGCCACGGTCTCGTTATTCGACAGAGGATCCATGATTTAAAAAGAAGAAGAAACCTGATGCGAGCACCCCGCCATATTCCCTCCCGTAATTTGTTCCAGTCCATGAAATCCGTTAATTTTTTGTTATATTATGTTTGGGTATGACACAGAGAAGTAGTTTAACTCCCATTCAACACACATAATAAAATGTCAAAGGGTGTCATCGTTCAAAACAATAGTCCCATTCCGCTCGCAGGCTACCCTTTTGTATAAAAGCGGGTTTCACCACATCTTCATCGAACTCCGAAGGAAAAAGGAGGAGGGGGTAAAAAAGAGGATTGAATTTGTCTATGCCTTCTCTGATCCTCGGGCACCCTTGGGAGTACCGGTCTGGAATCCGTTCTTGAACTTGCGGTCGACGGTCTTGAGGTAACGCATGCGGCCGGTACCGGTGGTTCTTCGTCGAAGGGCCTTCTCACTCCAGTTGTCTGCAAAATACCAGTGACATGTAAGTAAACGTCCGTCCGTATATGTTCATACCACCCGAGCCAAGCGTAGTTCTCGTTCGAGTATATATTCCAGCCCGGGAATAGGGATAGGTGTAGTGTCACGTACATTTGCGCATCTTGGCAGCTGGGTAACCGCACGAGGCGCATGTGTGCTTCTGGATATGGAGGGATCGCTGGCCTATATATTCCGTCCATTGTCAGATTCTCGGGTCCTCATCATTGCTGCTCCAACATCCATCTAGTCGAGGCAGATGTGGCGTTCAGTGTAGGAGTTTTATCGGGATAGCACTAACCGCACCGTCTGCACAGAGTGTGCGACTTGTTGTGGCGCTTTCCGAAACTGGAGGTTCCCTTCGCTGTTCGAATAAGTCAGTATAGGATTCGGTGCAGTCGTCCTGGGTTTTCGCGATGTCTGGAGGAAGTCGTACTCATCTTGAATCAGGAACTGCGAAGCCGGTAAATTCGTTAGTGAGCTGGCACGTTGTAAGATGAAGCCGTGATCAGCAGCAGAAATTCACATACCTTCAATGGTGCGTCTGGAAGCTCTGATATGTCGTCGTCGCTGGTCGTTGGATTGAAGTTCCGCTTGAGATGGACTAAGCGAATTTGTTGTGTGAGGGTTCAAGCCCTGGGCACGTGATGCATTTTCTTGTGGTGGAACCAGACCAAATCTAGCCAATAAGAGGAAAGCTTAGTCAGGGTCGAAAATACCCTTGTCGGAAAGGATAAATGATTATCCGGTTATAAAAGGAAACATACAAGAAGAGGAGAGAAGTACAAGAGAATAGAAGTCATGGTTACAAAGAAAAGAGAATAGATTCAAAGGTGATGTGGACAGAATTGATATTCGCTCAAACGCTAGCAGTATAAGTACAGTATGCACAAAGATAATAACCAATTATGAGACTAGCTCGTCCTTGCCGAGGAAAGCGGCCATCGGATCTGCAGCAGCAGTTCGAGACTTCTTGTATGCCTCTAGCTCCTCTTCTGTAACACCGACATCCATTTCATGGCGGGTACGCTTCTTTTGTGTCTCTGTGGCTTGCTTATCGCGATTCTCTTCTGCATTCTTCTCCTCTTCCGTATCTTCAGGTGGAACTTGAGATTCGTCGTCATTTCCCGCGTCGATTCGGAGCATGTTCTGGGCTTGCTCAAACGCTTCCATTCCTTCTTTTCCGGTACAATAGCTGTTCTTAACGGTTGAATGGCAGCAGGCGTAGCCCCAGTCGAAGTTAGACCACCAACTACCCCAGACCGAGGTATGGTTGTTAATCAGAACATTCTCCGCATACTTCGATTTAGCAGCAGGCTTGGGCTCTCCCTTGATCGCTCCTGTTTCGTCGTATTCAACAAATCTTTCATTCTCAATGACTGCCATATCCCGCAGTAGACCAGGTTGGAGATGTTCCCCTCCACCATATTTTTCCAACAAGGCCTTCTTCTCAGCAGCCTTCTTTGCATCTTGGTCGGCCTTGTGCTTTTTCCTATAGTACTCTCCGGAGGTAGGGTTCGCTTGTAGATGTTGCCTGTCAACGTCACCGCGCTCTTGCGTTTCCCAGGCATATTTTTGCGCCTTGTCAAACTCTTGAGCGTCACCTGAAGCTCGCATGAAGTTCTCCTCCGCGACCAGCGCGGCAGCTTGATCTGACTGTGCACCCATATCTACCATAGATCGGGTCTTGGGGTCGTATTTTGCAGAGTCAAGATCCAAGTTCAATAGATATTTTGCTGTATCTTCTCGTATTCGCAGGTTTCTTGTTCCTTTGCCTTGCTGCCGCCCCATCTCCGATTCTTCAGCATACCTAGCTTCTGCTATGCCATCAGCATCCTCGTCTTCACCGTCATTATCCTCGGTTGTAGATTTTGGTTCCTTGGTCGCATTATCCTTCGTCCTTTTCTTCAAAGCTTCCAGCTCCTCATATTCCTCAACAACATTCTGATACTCCTTTGCGTCGTAGCCGTTCCACCGATCTCTTTTCGCATCCCACCCCATCTCCACCTTCTGAATATGCTCATCTGCTTGTATATCCTTGCCGGTCCACCTTGCGCCATATTTCCTCGGCCTACTTAAACACTCTTTGGTCTTGTGTGTCATCGATCCGCAATTTTCGCAAGCGCCCTTCCGGTATTTGGTAGCCGCCGGGCCCAAACGCTTCCCTCTATCGTACCATTTTTGGTCTTCCTTTTCTTTATGAAGACGTTGATGCTCAAGATAGTCGTTGGCAGAGGAATCGTCGTCGACGTAAAACGGCTTCTTCGAGATGAAGGATGGGATATATTCGTTGCGCTCTTTATTCGCAACATCGGTTGGTCGCCTCGACATTTTGGCTGTAATAACAAATTAAAATCGAGCTGAGATATAAGTTATGCGCACCGACCGAGAGTCTTTCACTATTCAAATGAGTTGTCTCGTTGAAGCTCACTTGTCTGTCATAGCTAGGCCGGCGATCTTGGTCGTTGAAATACATGGTCACGTGAGTGGCTCAAAAGTCGTGTTTCTGCTTCGCGTCGATCAATTAAGACAATCCATGTCATAGTTACTGACAGGACTGGACTGTATCTCTTCACTTGTATCTGTTTCTACAGGTGGCTTAACCTTTACATAGTAGTCAAAGGAAACTACTCCATATGTTCTCTTTCTAAGTTCCCGATGCTATCTCGTCCATATCCAGTTGATGGCGGCCTTTCGCGTCCTGCTCAACTGTGTCGACCATTACCAGGCCACCCCGACAGGCCTTGACCCCCAGTTTCCATCCCATGACGGTGGTCCCAATGTGAAATCCAAGTCTATAAAAGTCCCCATAATTCGGGTTTTTGGGGCTACCGAGACTGGACAGAAAGTATGTGCACACATACACGGCGCGCTGCCCTATCTTTATCTCGAGTATAGGGGGAACTTGGCCCCAGAGGAAGGTCAGCAATACATTCCCGTCTCAAATTATATGTATCTAAAGTTCAGTTAGTCAATGCTGCTATCCGAACTCTACATGCGTCGATTGATCATGCGCTAGCTCTTAGCTATCGCCGAAATCCTTATGATTCATCAACTGCATACATCGCCTATATATCTTTAGTTAAAGGTATTCCGTTTTATGGCTACCATGTCGGATATAGGTATTATTTCAAAGTATATTTACTGAACCCACTGCATATGACACGGCTCGCGGATCTTCTTATGCAAGGTGCCGTCATGAAACGAGTCTTGCAACCGTATGAAAGTCATTTGCAGTTCATTCCTCAATGGATGTGCGATTACAATCTACATGGATGCACTTATATAACTTGTGCCAAAGTTATGTTCCGCTCACCGGTGCCATGCCATGCTGACATGGAGAATTCGAGCCATCTTTGGCATGACGAATCAATCCCTCCACGGCGTATCGCTGACGCCACGGCATTTCCGCGACAAAGCCACTGTGCAATAGAAGTGGATATCCATGTTCAAGATATATTAAACCGTCATGACGTTAAGCAACGAGAAATACACCATGATTTTGTGGGGGAAACTGATGATAACGGCTCGTTTTCCGAGAAGCTGGTTCCCAGCTTAAGAGGGCTTTGGAGAGATGAAGGGCGAAGGAGAAAGATTAAGATGGGCTTAACCGACTCTGAGAGTAGTCCGTTTTCCCAGCAAGACCTGGCTTCAATGTCGTCTAATCCACGGCACGTATCATCAGGTGGTTGGATACATGAGGAAGAGTTCCGTGAGCAAGTGGAAACTATTGCGGCAGAAGAGCAAAGGGAAAGCGGAAAACCACCTACATCGGATGATTTTGTTCATCGGTCTGAGTTTCAAGAATTGGTCAAAACTGCTCTGCAAAGCATTCAGGAGTTATATCCACGAAACTTGTTGGATGCACAGGCAGACAGCTTCCAATCTCAAATAAGCACAGATGCTAATAGCGGTAAGGCTGAGGTCGACGAGAGCCGAATTCAGTCTTTTGGATTGGATACCGCTTTTGGTCAAGATGCCGCGGATGATTTTTCTCAGAATTTCCAAGAAATGGTTTCGCAAGGGCAGCGTGACGATGAAAATGATGCTGAAAATGAGGAGTCAGTAGCATATGGTGTTGACAACCCTTTACGTCTGAGTGAGGTGGATCAAGGGAAACCCTTGGACCCTGGAGCACTCTTTCGATCCTCTCAACTTGAGGCAATCGGTATTCGGAAAGCGTCAGATCCAATCAACAGCGAGGACGATATGTTTGAAATTGATGACGAATTCATGAGCGTAATTCCTCGCAAGCCCAAGAAACGGGATCATATCGATAAACACAATTCTGGAGAATCTAGAAATAAGAAAACCAGAATATCCCAATTGCCTCGAACGCTATTGTTGCCACCAAAAACAGAATCCCGCAAATCTGCATCTGGGCTTGGAACGAGCGCTCAAGAGGCTGCTGAAGAGGACAACGACCCTACTGAAACCGCTGCCAGTCCGCCTACTTCGTCACAAAAACCAAGGATATCCAGCGGAAACAACCAACGTCTTCCTTTTCCTGTTGTCAAAGACCCAAATAACCCAACTACAATGCTAAGACTTAGCCAGCAGAGCCAGCCGCTAAAAAGGTCGCAGCAGCGCATAGAGAAGCTGGACACCGCATCTAAAGAAAGCGCTTCTCAGCCTAATCTAACGACGGCACATAGCGGAGTGGAGAGTGAAATGTCTGATGTAAAACATAGTGATACTACCAAAGCCGCATCACCACCTCCTAAGTCAGCTCAAACTCCGCAAAATAGTAGGGTCTACTGTTTTATCCCAAAGTGTCCCTCGCCTTCATCCGTCCGTGAAACTATCTCAGATGACTCAAGACCTGGCGTCATTTATCAAAACGCTTATTATAGTAACGACAATGACGTCCTTGAGCGTTCACGGGAGTATGCTGGAAGAGAATTCAAAATTGAAAGCAACACGTTCCCCTTTCTTCCTCCGTTCGATCCTATGGGCTATTCCCCAGCAATGTTTGGGGAGAAGCCACCGGTTGTACTAGATCGATTAACATTTGAAGATCGAAACAAAAAACTTCGGAAGACCTGTACTCTACGAACTTGGGAATTTGCACCGAGGCCGCCAACTCGAACCGATGTTATCAAATGGGCTGAGGAGAAGTCTCGGAAAGCCCGTACTAAGAGTACGCATACAGACAAGCCTACCCAGGAACATGCCGTTTCTCAAATTGATGGGCCCACTCAGCACAATAAGCACGGTTTCAAGTATTCCCAGAGAGTAAAGTCCTCAGCGATACAACACCAAGCTAATTACATGAGCATGATGAGCTTGGAAGTGCACGTCAATACACGTGGTACATTGGCACCAAATCCTGAAGAGGATCAAATTGCTTGTATATTCTGGTCATTTATATCCGACGATGAAGACCGACACCGTGGTATTGTGGCTCTCTCGGAAGCTGGCGACTTGTCTTCTAGGATCAAGCCTGATCCCGAGGTAGAATTTCAAGAGGAATCATCCGAACTTGATCTCATGAACCGAATCATTGGCGTGGTTAGGTATTATGACCCCGATATCTTGACGGGTTACGAGGTTCATAACGGCTCATGGGGCTATCTAATCGAACGTGCAAGACGATGTTATGATTATGATCTATGTGACGAGTTCTCCAGGGTTAAATCACAATCTCATGGGCGCATTGGAAGGGAGGCAGATCGATGGGGCTTCAACCATACCTCTACTATTCGCGTCACTGGAAGACACATGATTAACATCTGGAGAGCCATGAGGGGAGAACTCAACCTTCTTCAATATACAATGGAAAATGTGACATTCCATTTACTTCACAAAAGGATCCCACATTATCCCTTTGAAGATTTGACGAAATGGTTTAAGAGTGACAGACCTAGAGATGTCGTTAAAACGATACAGTATTTTGCATCGAGGGTCGACCTTAACCTGCAGATCCTAGAGGCAAACGAACTCATTTCAAGGACAAGTGAGCAAGCCAGAATTCTCGGTGTAGACTTCTACTCTGTGTTTTCCAGAGGATCTCAATTTAAGGTGGAATCCTTAATGTTCCGCATTGCTAAACCAGAGAACTTCATCCTGATTTCCCCCAGTAGGAAACAGGTCGGGCAGCAAAATGCTTTGGAGTGCCTTCCTTTGGTCATGGAACCTCAAAGCGACTTTTATACCAGTCCGTTACTTGTCTTGGACTTCCAGTCGCTATATCCCAGTATCATGATCGCCTATAATTACTGCTACTCCACAAATTTGGGTAGGATTGTCAACTGGCGTGGTCGAAACAAGATGGGAGTTATAGACTATGAAAGAGAACCTGGCCTACTGGGTTTGCTAAAAGATCAGATTAACATTGCGCCAAATGGGATTATTTACGCAAAGCAAGCAGTACGGAAATCACTTCTGGCTAAAATGCTTACTGAAATCCTTGAAACCCGTGTAATGGTTAAAGGTGGAATGAAAGAGGACAAAGACGACAGACCTCTACAGCGCCTATTGAATAATCGACAATTGGCACTTAAGTTAATTGCTAATGTAACTTATGGCTATACTTCTGCTTCATTCTCTGGCAGGATGCCATGCTCTGAAATTGCTGACAGTATTGTCCAGACAGCAAGGGAGACTCTTGAGAAGGCAATTGCACTCATCCATTCTGTGAAACGATGGGGCGCAGAGGTTGTTTATGGGGATACGGACAGCCTGTTCATTTACTTGAAAGGTCGCACAAGAGAAGAAGCCTTTGATCTCGGGGAAGAGATAGCAAAAACCATCACAGATGCGAGTCCGCGGCCGGTCAAACTCAAATTTGAAAAGGTCTACCACCCATGCATCCTTCTTGCAAAGAAACGATACGTTGGCTACAAATACGAATCCCGAAATCAACAAGAACCCGAATTTGATGCCAAGGGCATCGAGACTGTTCGAAGAGACGGGACACCTGCTGAGCAGAAGATCGAAGAGAAGGTGCTAAAGCTACTATTTGAAACTTCCGATTTGAGTCGCGTCAAGGAGTACTTTCAGAAACAATGCTCCAAGATCATGCGAGGCAAAGTTTCAATTCAGGACTTTTGTTTTGCGAAGGAGGTTAGGCTGGGAACCTATAGTGAGAAGGGAGCTCCTCCTCCTGGGGCACTGATCAGTGCGAAACGAATGTTAGAGGACCCCAGGCTTGAGCCACAGTATGGAGAACGGGTGCCGTATGTAGTTGTGTCAGGGGCTCCTGGCGCGCGCCTCATTGATCGCTGTTTTCCACCAGAAGTATTACTTCAAGATCCACAACTGGAGCTCGATGCGGAATACTACATCTCCAAGAACCTCATTCCGCCCTTGGAGAGAATATTTAACCTTGTTGGAGCCAATGTTCGGCAATGGTACGATGAAATGCCCAAGTACCAGCGCGTGCGACGCACAGAGGGAGCTTTACACGCCCCATCTGGAGGGCCCGGCCAAGAAGGCAACGCAGCGAGGTTCAAGAAAACATTAGAGTGCTATATGAAATCATCGTCCTGTGTCATATGCCGCAACAAGTTAAATACGCAAGAGCAACGACAACAGCATCAACAACCGATCTGCAACGTCTGTCTCCGACAACAGCCCCATCTTTCATTGTTGAAACTTGAATATCGTATACACGATTCCGAGAGAAAGGTGGCCAATCTAAATGAGATATGCCGCTCTTGTATGGGCGTGGGATGGGGGGAGGATGTCAAATGTGATAGCAAGGATTGTCCGGTGTTTTACTCCCGAATGAGGCAAACTTCGGACCTCAGACATACTCGAGCCCTTCTCGAGCCGGTGATTAGTGTCCTTGCCGATGGCGCTTCAAATGAAGATAATGGTCATATTGCCTTGAATTGGTAAATAGCTCCCTCCATTTAGGTCATCATTCTGGCTCCTCCATAATGAGTTCAGCGCAGGTTCGCGAATAGAGCAAACGGGCTCGGAGTGCAATGCTTTGGTAGAGGCCTCACCCATGTATATGATTATAATAAGAGACGAGATCATAATCATAATGGAGAGTAATTGATAACGTGTAGCTTTGTAGATTCCAGCTGTGATATCGCCCAAAGAGGCTAGCCCCAACGCCAAGGACGCTGTCCGTAAAGGGCATCTTCACTTCTCGCCTTCGACAACTTCATGTAAGAAGCAACAAAACGCTTGGGAGTCGGGGAATTAAATAAATACACAATGGCACAGAAGGATATGCGAAGAGCGGACCTGGGTATGCTATCTACTGTATCCTCTAATCAACTCAGTCATTCAGACCAAAAGTCAACCGCTAATATGCTCTTTTCGTGGCAGCGGTCCCGTACGAGGCTCCACCAGTTAAGAAGACTGATGGTGATATCTCTGGTATGTGTTCTCTTTGATTGGGGATAACAGCACACTTCGTTGCTATTTTTTGTAAGATTTTCTTGGTTTATTGTTGGCTGATGTTCTGGCACAGGTACCATTGCTAGCACGATGCCAATGGCTGCTGTAAGTTTATTCGAGCCACCGTTCTATTTACATAGCTGTGCTAATGATATGAATAGATGTTCACTCGCAACAGGTATATTCAGACCTTTCAGGCTTTCTGCCAGACATCGTGCATTTGTAGAGACGATGCTTTACCAATGGAATCAAACTGACTAGGGTTCTTTTCTTCTCCCGTATTTCAGAATGATCGGATGGTATGTTCTAACCAATTCTGGCATCTCTACCCGTCTACATCTTGTAGAAGGATCGAGAATTTCTTATTCCCCTAGTACCCTTCATCCTCCGAGGCCGGAGGTTCTTCCCCTCGTTGATCAAATTGCTAAGATCATCCAGGTCCTCCCTAGTGTTCACTCTCCAGACGTGGTTAGCCGAAAGTCCAGATCAGAAAAAGGCATCATCTGCCCCAGCATACATGTCGGTCTTTATGTCAGGTACGTTGATTCTCGTCATTTATGCATTTGTCATTCTTGCTAACTGGTTATATAGCCATGGCCGTCGTAGTGGTATGTCACTCATCCAGATTACTCGGGTTATAAACGATCATACCAGAAGAGGCGCCTGCTGACCCATTTCTCTCACCAGACGTACATGCCTCTGTTCCTACCGCCTCCTCCAAGCGGTAACAAGGCCCCCCCGGCACCAGCTTCTTAGGAGATCTCGTTGCTGCTACTTTATAATTAATGTACTATTCTTCAACATGACTTGCACATGAATGTAAACTTGTACAACTATCCTTGTTTATATTCTCGATACTTGCATTCAAGCTTTAGAGTAGCTACTCGGCAGCCATTGCCTCTCCGTTATATCGCCAACTCAAGACGGGCAGACATGCACATATAAAACGGTTGAATCTAGAGTCAGATTTGCCAAACCATTACACCACCTGAACCTCCAGCTCATCATACTTCACACCAAGCCAATTTCCCGGCGCCCACCGGTATGAATTACGCCTAGGAATTCTTCCAATTTCCTTGCCAATATAATCCCCTTGTGATAACTCCTGCGGTTACGGTGACTTAATATCCGTCGTCCGGTAATGTGATATGGCTGGTTAATACGCAGAAGTTACGGAGTATAGCAAGTAGAGTATTTTAGATTTCGTTATCCTGAGCTTTGAGTAATCACATATGATGGAGTACAATATTTATGCTAGTGTCACCTCAGAGGTGGCTAACCTTTAGATATGTTTAGATGCCTAGGGGTCTAGACATCTAGCTTGTTTACCAAATGACGCCAAGCCCCAGAGGATAGCATATGGATGAATGGTTGCCCTACCATTTGATGGAATACTCCGTACATCTCTTGCTTATGTAGGGCTTTTCCAAGAGGCTGGGAGAAACACGCATAGGCTTGCCACAACTTTTCGCTTGAGGCTTACACTTGGGCCTTCTCCTAGCTGTGCGCTTAGACTTACCTTGATAACTTCCTCAAATCTTTGCCATTGGATACGCCTTAGGTTTGGGCTTGCCCATATACATGTCTTTGGGCCTTCTTAGACCATGAATCATGCTATATATGGAAGATGGATCGAAGATGAAAGATGGAATCTTGGAAGGGATATCATATCGGATGGCGGAGAAACGATGTTCCGGCGTTCACTTTTCTGCCAACTTGATCCGTCATCGCCAACCTTGGAACAGTTTGAACTTGATTTAACGTCAACTCTCAGGAGTAAATGGATATACGTCCGCGCCCCGAGGCCAATTTGAGGAATCAATTGCCATTGTGATACATATACCATGCAGTGAGTATCCCACACCCTCGGAGTTAACGTTCTCTTGACATGGGGTGGCATGGGCAGAAGTGCCTCACAACAAGTCGGTTAGAAAGGAGCCTATGGGAGAACAGAGCTAGGTAGACGGCTGCCACCCGAGGGCTAGGATACGCTTGTGTGGGGTTGCGGTTTTAACCCTGATCTTTCACCAACTATAAGTCACCAACGAACACGTTGGATGGGTCACAACGGCGAACCGCCGCCCAGATTTCCGTTCCGCCACGCCAACCGCTCACATTTGCACGATTAACGTCTCGCCCATTAGCATCTCACCGGACTGTGGAGTTATGATATTATGAAAGAGCTTCGTCTTTGTCCATCCGGTTTTGCTGGTTTCACGACGTCAAGTTCCGCGTTTGCCGATCTGGAGAGGATCTATATCGTCATCACGACGGGCCAGCGCCCTAGACAGGGAGCAATACGATAAAGCCAGTGGACAATGTGACTTCGAGAAAGGGGATGCCGTTGCGGCTGGAAAGTGGTTTTCCTCCCCGGTGCTGCCCCTAGACCCATTTTCCTGCTATCGATGCATTCGGAAGAAACCCCCTTCCTTAAGGGTAGCGAATAAGGGGGGTTACAAGCTGCCCCATGAACTGTCATATTCAGGGCCTACACAAAACCCATTTATCAATGCACGAGATACAACTTATATGAACTCCCTGATGCACCCTTAGCATTCCTTTTCTTCGCCACATGGCTCTACATTTTCTCGCGTACGGGATTCGGAGTACTTATCCTTTTTAAGGCCACACCCATGATTCAACCCGTCCCCGCAACCTTAAAACATCCCGCATGATCGGAATAATTAGTCCGCAAATAATAGTTGGATTGTTATCGGTAGGGGCCAAGGAACCCTTGCTGGCTGCTCTCATTTGCCGAAGGAGATCTCACTCACAAGCCCTTTCATAACCAGCCCGAAAAGGACATCCGGTTGTTCCTTCGTACACTTACGACGTATCGGCATAATATCTTGCGCTCCATATGCCAGCTGCATAATATTATGCTGTAACCTTTCGGACTCTACAAGTTCGTCTAGATGTAGAGTATGGACCCTGATCGAAGCTGCGGTTTTAAGTGGTGGCCTGGAGTTTTATCGATAACGCAGAGGCCTTTCGAGGCCGCAAGGGCCATAACCAGGAGACATCTTCGTCCACAAATGGTGCTGAGTCGTTCTTATGCTTGGGTTTAATATTCGAGTAGGTACTTAGGTGGCCAAGGCGCACATGAGACCGCCGAGCTAGACCGCAGAAGGAAAACAAAATCCAAAATCCACCTCGTCAACGAACAACGGTGGAGACGAACTTCGCTCTTCAGGATCGCATGATACAACGCAAGCGTGTTTACCTTCCTCGTTCTCGTTTTAAGGTGGCTTTGGTCTTATTCTCTGCGCTCTGATCTCCACAGGAGAATGTCTCCTCCATCACAGGGATGTATATGGCTGTCAGACAACTGCGCTGTTATTAGCCAGCCACGCCGCGCGAAGGATGGCAATAAGCCGATATTAGCAAGGCACAACGTACTACTTTTCTGTTAATCACGGCGCACTTCCGCTCGATACCTGGGTACTCCGTTTACGGTACTCCGTAAGTGCTCCGGGATATTGGGTCGTCATAGTGCGTGAGATCTGGGCCGCTAACTACGACACAAGTAACTATCGAGGCCACCTGAAAATGAAGCGGAATTTTAACAATGGCGGCTAAGGGGAGAGCGATTGCTCAGGTATCCATCTCCATGCATCTACGAAGTCTCTAGCCAAAAAGATGGGCCCCTTAAACAATTCAAAACTAAAGGACGGCCAATAGAGCACACGACTCCCTACGTTGCTAGGTATACGCTTAACTAACTACCTATTCTCCATGGAAAATACATGGGGTGCAACCACACCAATGGGAGGAGGCCGAGCAGCCCAATGTTCACGGAGCTCCCCGGGGCTTGTCAGCTCCCCAGCAGTATGACGCCGGTTCCTGCGAGATCTTCTTTGGACGAAAGCATCGTTGCGTTCTCTACGAAATAACCCGACTAACCGCAACCAATCAACTTGGAAATAGAGCTACTAATCCCAGGCCACGCCCGCTAGTTAATATTGCAGTACGGGGCTCCCAGCTCCATGCTACTGTGCCATTATTACGGAGGACATAAGATCATACGGGGTCATGTTCTAGCTGCCGGGATTTAGCCGTTGACATCCCAAACAAATGGCTCGCGGAACCAGCCCTTGCAGCCACTGAAGTTTAGCTGTTGCTCCCTTCATGAAGATAACAGCATGGGCCTTTTTGATCGATCTGCTCGGTTGTGCTTGACCGGTACTCCACCTCCGCGCCCTGAGCTTCTGGAGCATAGTACCCGTTTTTCCTGGACGCTTAGTCCGCCGTGCTTGTGCGGGTATCTGGGGCGGAATCCAAGACACTGGATCATCGCCCGCAATGCACGATGTTAGTTATCCACTAGAGCGCCGCCAAGGCACGCCACCTTTGCAGCTCAGTAACCCATCACCCACAAATTCTGAGCATAAGGGTCTAGATGGAATGCCTCGAGCCATCATACGGTGCACGCCCTGTGTGGTTGGTCTATTGGGTTATCCAACCTTAAACCCCGTGGCCAATGCACCCTTCCCTAACTCCTTTAAAGCAATGACAAACCTCTGCTGCCATCAGGATTAAGCTTCTCCAATTATTCCAAGTATTAATCATCCGTTTCTCTGTTAGACTAGGCCCCATTTTTACATTCAGTTTTCGTTTCTAGACCTCCTTCAGAAACCGAAAAAAATACCCCTTCATCCATCGTCTTGTTCATTGCTAGAGCACGCATACTTCTATCCCAAGTTAGCATTAGTTCTCCCAGTTTCGAATGGAACTTACTACAGCCCAACGGATGCTGTTGTTGAGCGACTTTAGTTATCGGCTGCCTTCCCCACCTGCTATATGCTATGGCGTACCCTCGACATATTGACGGCACCGTCTTCGTCAGACAGGGCTCACCACTCCTCCATGGGCGTCAATCCCATTCCTGGCATGAAAAACCGGCCGGACCACAACGGACATTGTCTCATCCTGCCATAAGTCTGCACCAAGGACGCGCAGACCGATCCTCTTCGGAGCCCCTGCCCTCAACCGGACCAGAGCCGACTTTCAGCTTCCAGTTAGCCTTACCTCAGTTTTATGTGCCATATAGATGGTGGGAAGATGGGGCTTCTATGATTCTTTGGGCTTTTGACCATCAGGATATCAAGAGGCTCCTCCGGTTCCGGTTGTACGAAAACGACGAGCTTCCTCGTTATGTGTTACAGAACCGCAATGCTGACGTAGTCTCTGGGTTCCTTGCATCTTTACTTCCGCCCGAACAAGGGATGTTTACCTTGGATCTACCCCATCACCACAAGGTTGAGGAAATATTGGAACTATGCCAGCTAAGGAATCCCCCTGTGGAAGCATGGAGATGGCATCCAAACTATTCATATAACGCCGAACCAAGGACTATTGCCTCTTATATCGACGCCGAGAGTTCACAGCAGTTCAAAGCAGTTCCATTCGAGGACTGGATCCGTTATGCCCTAGGATATCCCACAGCGTCTATTCAATGGTTCTTTTCCCAGCACAAACAACTACATGATATAGTGTCAGCGCATCTAGACCTTTTCCCTGGAGAGTTCGATACCTACGTCGAGGTCGAGAGAGTAAGCCCCCGTCCAGCTGAATGGTCACTTCTTAGGCCTGTTTCCTGTTTCACTAACACTCCAAATCTAGTACCTTCGAGAAGGCTCCCCGTTTGCCCAATATGTCCTTCTACAGTGCCTCAGTGTTAGAGGCTTGCTGAACAGTGAAGTTCCCGATCAATCCAATCAATGGGTTGTAGGGTCTATCATCCGCCCTATCCAAGAACTATTCAAGGCCCATTTAACCGGATTACCCTCGATGCTGAAAAAGCTATCAGTACTCTCACTCAGCTTCGAACGCAAGTACCGTGCGGCCGCCGAAATAGATTGGAGCTCTCCGTTCGAAGCGAACCCAGCATATCTTAATGACTTCTTTGCCTTCAGGGAGGTTGAGCCTTTGGCTAGGAAGCTCACTCATATTGATACACGAGAATTCTCCTTTCTTTCGCCCCAAGACTTTGTCGAAGATACTACAACATTGCGATCTTTGTCTAGCAGATGGCATCTACTTTGTTCTTCTACCGAAGAATGTTGCCTGGCACTTCCGGAAATGGCCATTTTCTTCAAAAGCTGCATTGCCGTAAGTATCCTGTTTTTACTTCCTACCCCTTTCATTTACCACCCTATGGAGATGGGCGTTAACATAACTGGGTGCCAATGCAGATCTTACATCGACTGAAAAATTATTACTCAGCTACCGCCATACTTTACGGACTTCAGAAAGCCATCATGAATCTTTTCGACTTATTTTTGGAGCCAAGCAATGAACTGGAACAGTCTCTCAAGCAATCCTCAACCCACTGCTTTGAGTTAATGGATTCAGCTGGCAACTACTCCTTGTACAGGGACGCTATGCAAAAGAGGCCCGGGATCCCTTTCTTGCTCCCGCATATTGTGGAATACCAATCAAAGGGAGAAGATGCAGTTGCTGGCATGTTCCCTCTCCCCATACATTGAGAAATTAGGGGCCGATCGCCGGTCCCGTTCGGGGGGCCTTAACCCCTCATTATAGCATTTCCAACCAAGACCGTTTCCTTTTGCATGTGGCTGTTTCCATTGTACTTACGAAGGCCCCAAATAGGAGTGGATATACCGTCACAAAGCTCAGCGGACGCCCGGGCTTGATGCTCTTAAGCGATCAACGCCACCTCACTTTGGTAAACGAAAAGGAAAGTGGTCTTACGCCGGCTATTTTTGTCGTCCACTTGTATGGAGGAGAGAGGGAATGGGGTCCTCGTTCATCCCGTCTGTGCCAGGATCCAACACCAATTGAATGTATCTTGGCTACCTATCTCTCATGCGGACTATGTTAATCTGGCCCACGCTATGAAATGATATGAAAGTTGCACCGCTTTGTTCTCTATAATTGCACGAATGAGATCCTCTAGGAGGGGTTTCATTCTCAGAGCCGGCGATTGCGCATCTGTCAGCCACAGACAGGGAGAAGCTTCCAGGCCATTCTCCACCAGATCGAAAGGGCCCTCCTAACAAGCTAGTGACTAGGATAGCTTTAATATATCCTCCTCTTGCGAGTTTCGAGCCTCCAACGCGGCTCCACACAGACTGAATTGGAACCTTAACACGGACACCAACCAATCTCTATCTAAAGCTGGGATCGAGACGTGATAATGGCGTGACCTCGATCGACAATATACAAAGTATCAAAGAGAGGCAGCTGAAATGATATGAGTTGAGACACTATAGGCGAGAAACATACCCGACGCCATGCATTCGTTTCAGCTTCACATCAATTGGCCAGCCACCCACGCATAAGACAGTGACACTGCATTCAGTAGGATGGATTCTAGAGCTAGACGAACATTTTTCGCCACATACAGGTCTATCTTTACCCTATGTTTTAACTCTCCACCTCAGCCGCGTGGTATAGCACTGCCTCAGGTCTATGAATAATAATGCACGATACTATGGAGGCAAAAATATGTGCATTGCATGATTGGAGCGGTGTGGATACGGCCTGTGTACCTGGCTCCATTATCAGACTACATCCTATTGTTGTGCATGTAAGTCAAACTATATCCCCACGCGTCTTATGCAGTCTACTATTTCCTTCTCACGGGCATATGCATATACGATTATACTTCCAGGTTTATGTTTGTGGCTCATACTAATAGGGTTACATAGTTTAAATAAGTAGTGGAAGATCCTTCCTCTGATCCTTCCACACCTGCCCGTTTCTCCGACTTCACTCAAGAATTCGAAAGTACAAATCTACCCGGGGTCATTGATCGGCTAAGAGTTCCACACCAGGCTCTTCTGCCTTGTATTGGTTATTTTAAATTTGATTCTATATCAAACAAAAATATCCTTATTTACGGATTCGACCCGGAATGAGAATGTTACACTGCATAGCCAGATTTACCCAACAGACAGGCGCAGAGATTGTGCGAACATTCAAAGAGCCATACGACATGTACTCTATGCGGAGTACTTTGGCAGACGAGGCGAACCTAGCGAATGAAGCCACAACGGGGTGGCTAGGTTCAACGGAGACGTTATACCCTGTCAAATTCGTGTAACCACTAGCTTGCATGCAACTCACATCAACATTGCCCCCTTATGGGTGTTGCGAGCAACGCTAAGTAGGGAAAAAGGCAACCGCGTGTTCCGCTTGGCCCTGATTACCCGGCCTAAGCCATAATATACCCTTTTGCCGGCTACTTCCAGCTGAATGGAAGAACCGTACGCTTGACGGAAGCCCCGATTTGCCTCACGGCAGGCATGTGGCGCACGAAAGATATCTTATTCGCGATATCTATCTCTATCCTGTCGGCAAGGACGGCTTCGAGTAATATTTCTCTTATCTTTTCTTGCGGCACTCGCGGGATAGCAAAAGGAGCAGGAATCCGAAAGAGCGCTTGGTATTCAAAGGACGTGGCAACCAGGGAGGGGGCTTGTCGTACCAATGTGTCATGAATCATGGCAGTTTTGCTCGCCGGGTATTGTGCACACAGTATCCGGCCGAGGAGGCACAAAATTTGACCGCTAGAGGCGGACATGGCATTGAACCTTGCTCAAAAATTTTTTTTCCACCTGTGGCTTACCGTTCTCTGATTTGATGTCAACTTGGGATAAGGCACCACGATAAGGGCGGTATGGCATTACTAGAACTTGGCTGTCCATTCACGGTGTGGTCACGGTGTGGTCAAGGTAGCGGTGAAATCTCTAATGACATGCCATTGGTGCGCTTACCACACGTAGAAGGGATCTGACGGAACTCAATAGATGATTTACCAGGCTTCAGCCACGTAGGCCGGCGCTTATGCCAGGGCTAGAGCATGCCGCAGCAAGAAAAAGAATGTAAGACAAAGCCTCTTCACGTTTTCGGTGGCGTAGGCGAGCCACCTTGAAGTGTCAAAATGTAAATGTCTTGTTGCTCTGATATCGAAGTGAAGTCGCGGTCAACCGTTTTAGGAAAAAAGCCGAGGTAAAAACAAGGTTCCGGAACAGCGGCCACTAGTCCTAAAGCGGAAAGAGGGCTGTCGGATAAACGGAGAAACAAATATCCGTATTTGGCATCCAAAGTTGGCCCAAAGCGGAAAGCTTCGTGGTTTTGGTTTGATGGTTGATATGAAGAGAGTGAAGAACTTCAGATGGTATCTCGACCCCCGATGGCGGTAGTTGGAGCTATGTGAGAGCAATATCGAGTCGTAATTCGCCATGGACGCCTTCATAGGCTCGCTCCCGTCCTTCACTACCACGCCTGATGACACCACATCACAGAACCGAGAGGCACACCAGCTGCCACATCTAAGGATTGCTCCCCTCCGCGATCCTATTCCACCACAGTCACGGAAACCCCCGTCCCCCCTCGAACCCAATGCCGGAGCTATCAGGGAGCCCAAGTATGCCTCCAAGCCGGCTCCTGCAACCGCGAGTCAACCTACAGAGCTCCCCACGGTAGCGGGGTTCCTCAACGTCACAGCACCTACAGACAAGCCAACGGGTCTCGCGCCGTCAGCAGCACCTATAGACCCGGTATCAAACCCAGATAATCTGCCTAAGACGGTACTGCCTGCGTTTATCAATTTACGGGCAGTGGAAAAGCTACCGTACTCCTCGTTTGATGAGGAGGTGTTGCCCCGAAAACGTCGTCGAGTGGAGCAGTATGGTGATACATTCGGAGACCATCTACAGCTTCCAATACCGAAAAATCAGAAAGAGTTGCCTAAACAACCTCCTCCGTTTGGGCCGCTGACAATACTGAATGGGCTAAACGAACCACCTCCAAATGCTGCCTTGTTCCCACCCATCGAACCTAATGGATCTCCAAACATTTTGGCATGCTCCATCCAAGAGGCCCCGAGTATAACTAAAGACCAGTCTAGCAGAAAGGGAGAGAGACCAGCCAAGAAGAACGTGGGAATAACCGAGCCCACTAGCGCAGATACGGAAAACGTTACTGGCATATCAAGCGCTGGGCAGACCCAGGTTTCCGCGATAGATGGAATTGCCCAAGCTGACACACAGTACTCTGTCGAGGGAATAGATGGGGAGGATACTCAGAGGTATAACAATGGAGCTGCACCCAAATCGCAGCCAAGGAAGAAAGCACGAAAGTGGACGGACGAAGAAACTCACGATTTACTACGGGGAGTTGTGAGATGCGGAGTGGGTAATTGGACCTCTATACTTGCACAACCCGATTTAAGCTTTAACGAAAGGTCGGCGGCGAATCTGAAGGACAGGTTTCGTGTCTGCTGCTCGTGGGCCTATGAACCTGATGGAAAACCTCGTCCAGAAGGCGTTTCAACCACGATTGCGGGTGGTGTGAATAATCCTCAGTCCGGGAAAATATTCCTACCAGACCCCAGGAAAACTAAAGGTGCTGCCGAATCAAGCGCTCTTCCTAACACCACTACTACGTTGCAAAGTATTGCCGCAAATATCCCGCCTGTCTCATCCACCCCTGTACCTGCTTCTACACTCATACTAGGCACTGAAAACACCTCTACCCCAGAAAAATCCTTGATAACACAGAAGCCTCGCCGCAGAGTATCCCCTTCGGCCAAGGGAGCTGAAACTCTCTCTGATAAAACAAAATCTACGTTAATTGCACTTGGTCTACCTGATCCGGACACCACGGTCAAAGCGAATAGACGTTCTCGACGTCCATTCACACAGGCGGAAGACGAAGCACTGTTGAAAGGCTATGCAGTGCATGGTTTCCAGTGGACGCTCATACGGCAAGACAAACACCTGAATTTAATGCATCGAAAGGCCACAGATCTCAGGGATCGTTTCAGAACGAAATTCCCCAACGCATATAGGGAAGGAGGGTCAGCAACAGCGAAAAATATACCTGCCACTCTTAACAATGGGGCTACAGCAGCTATTGGAGCTGATGTTGTCGCTGAAGAAAAACCGTTCCCGACTCTAGCAACGCCAATTGTTACTATGGGGAAGGAACGTCGCCAATCATTGAATCCAATTTCTACAGTCGAAGACCCCCAATACGGAAAGGGGACCCTTAGGCGGCCAAGTAACAGCGGTATCAATATGATTGCAGCTGGCGACCAGAATTCAAAGTCTAATCCATCATCTCTTCTAGCCAACGATGCCTTATTACTTAGTACAGCTGCCGGTGCTGCACCAATTGACCCTGCTATGCTTCCTCCAGCACCGCCACTGAGCTCTGCGTTTGCATTCACAACAATGGATGATAGCGCTGGCGCTGTTAACGGAGAGACTGCCTTGGGGCGATGGCATGATATTACGTTGCCACCGTTGGTGTGGGAGGAGTTAGGATAAGGGAGCCCCTGGTTTCTGGTTGACTCTATCCTTCAATAACGCCTTAACGATGCTACGAATGTCATGAAATACTACACATTAAATGTATTATTTACATTTGCAGTTATATTTAGCAAAAATAACCCTACATATCGCTCTCTTTTACATTTAGATCCATGATATGATGTAAATTTACAAATACATGTGATAGGTGGCAGATTATATATTGAAAAACTATCCCCGTGAATTACAAAAGTGGTTTTATATATAAAGTGACAGTGGACGGAAAATGGAGGAAACAGAAACCATTCGCTGAATATTGCATTAATTAAAAAGAACGCTTGGGAATATAGGACTAGAAATCAGTTGTTGACCTCCCTGCCTGGTCTTTTGAAGAATAAGCATAAATTATTAAGTAGTAAGAGGATAGAAGCGCTAGGCTTCTTTGCTTGTTGGGGTTATTCAGCGCTCCTGAGCGTGACATAGAGTGAGAACATGGATAAATGACTTAGACAGCATCAGACCACCCAAGGTTTAACAGCTCCCAGGGAAAGAGGGTACTAATCATAACAACGGAGCAAACAGCGAGTTGCGGCTAGCATCCGCCGCAAATATGATGGGCGGTATGCCTGTAATGGTAGACGGTGATTCCTCTTGTTGGCGAAACAAAAAGGAAGAGCTGAACGCCACTCGCGAGGGTCAATATGTCAAACAAACATGGACTTATCACCATGCGTTTCGATCCCAGTTCGGATCTAAAAAAAAAAAAAAAATTGAGACGTCAGTACATGGATCTACTCTACTAGAATTCCATAAGAGGTAAACTCTTACCTTGCACGAAGCTGGCTAGCACCTTACTTCCGGTCTGAAGCAGGGGATGACCAACTACGATTTGCAAAAACCGCTGTAGCCCTTCTCTACGGTGTTCGATCACATCGTCACTAAACCGGTTCGTGAATACCTTTCCTGGAAGTGGTGGTATCGTGACTCGGGCGCTTTCTCTTTCCAGGATATCTCTAAAGTATTCGAAATCAGAGTATCGACGGCGAACAACGGAGTGTTTCAATTTAAAGGCGGGTATATTGGTCCGGCAGACGATTTCGTACGAAGTATACATGTTGCGAGATGTGCCATGAGTCTGAGGACTTCTCACCTATGAATGCGCAGAGCCAGGAAGTCAGTATAATGCATGGTCTTTGACAGCATAAAACACGGTCATACTTCGATTTCCAAGAAGTTTTCCGGGGGCCCATAGATCTCCTCGAACGTCTGATGACGAGCATCTGGTATTGCCTGCATTCTGGACTGCTCGGTCGTAGATACTTGTCGGGTAGTTTGATATCAACTAAATGGCGAGCTGGAGCCGCACTGAAGTGGGGGGGTAGAAATGGAGGATATCAGGTCGCCGGTGACGAGCTGAAGCGAGGATAAGTTATATGAGGCCGGTAGCAGTATACTCTGTACCTCTTCAACTTGACTCGGTGTTTATTCTCCTGTTACAGACGTCTGTCTGCTGGCTGATATCGTCGTCGTCGTTGTCTGGCGGTTAATGCGATCAAGGAAGCTCGGCCTTGTCTGCGTGCCCAAAGCGGAAGTAAGTGGGACTCTCTCTCGGCCACATATTCTTCCTCTTCCGGTCTTAACTTGGACTAGCGTTATTTATGTGATTATTAATGGATCCTTGGCATATATTCCACACGTGACCAGCGCTTAAAAGGACGGCGAGCTTCCACATCGCGGAGAGTCCGGCAAAGCAACAACACCCATTGAATAGGAGGATGCAATATCAGACACCCTTTGCTGCAGTCTACAGCCTCGAATGGTACAGCTCGAGAGTCCGTTATTAATGCTTGTCGGACATAGGAGATAGCAGCTTTAACGCCACCTTCTCCAGGCCTATGACGCTATTGGGGTAGCGGACCCGTTCCTCCCCTAGTTACCTCTCTACCTTACCACAGATACTGTTTTTTTTTATTTAGACAGGATATATTAGCAACTCCCAAGCCGTTTCATCAAGCATATCATTATTCTACTTCTATTCATAACTTATACCCACTCTGCAAGTTTGCCGGTCTTACTATGTCTAGTCATGGGCCAGAACAGGGCAACCCGCAGGAAGCAGCATCTCCCGCAAACTCGGACTCAATATTCCATTTAGCTCATGAATGGGGCCATGTGGGAGATGGGGAAGATGAGGATGACATGGATAATGACGACTGGAATCCATTAACGGGACGAAGACATGATACGGACGACGAAGATGAAGATTTTGATGAAGACGATGACGACGAGGAGGATGACGATAGCCATGAGGATCAGCACGACGTAGAGCTCCAATTTTCACTTCATCCAGGGCAAAGTGAAGAGGCAGCGGGATCTAACGCAGATCGCCAGAATGACCCTGACCGTGTAAGAAGTATGGACATCAATGTCTCCCTCGCATGGAATCTGAAAATCACCTTCCCCTTTGGCTTGCTGATCGGATTGGTGTTAGTAACCACCGCGCAACTATTCCGGCTACTTGGTGCCAATCAACTTCATCGTATACTACGAGGTCACGGGTTGTTGCGATCGCGATCAATCGATGACGATGACGGTTTTGGTGTTAATTACCTGCATGGAACGAACCGCCATCCACTACCAATACATCAGAGACCAAATTTATACCCGAAGCCTCCAAGTCAGGCAGGGAGGGAGTTGATGGCCTCTGGGGATTATGGCAATAATACATACTACGCCGACAAGTTGAGAAGTCGAAAGAAGGAGCTGTCGGCAAAACTGATGTATAGAGAACTGGGGGCAGGGCCGCGGGGTGCTGAAAGCCGATATTCCCGCGCAATATCGCAGGTGAGAGACTATAATTCATATTACTAGCCTCTGTTTCCCGCTTTTATTACTTTCCAGCTCATAGCTAGCAAACTAACACGGATTGCTAGGACCTCCTTCCTGGTACCCCCGTTGATACCATTATACATTACGATCTGCCATGTTACTCCGGCCAGTTCTCCGACGATGGGAACTTTTTCTTTACATCCTGCCAAGACTTCAAGGTTCGGATGTATGATACCTCCAATCCATATATCTGGCGCCATTACAAAACTGTCACGTATCCGCATGGTCAATGGACTATAACAGATGCCACCCTAAGTCCAGACAATAGATTCTTAGCATACAGCTCCATAAGACATGTGGTATGCTTGGCTGGAACTGACCCATCATCTGACACTAATCCAATACTCCTGGATCTCGATAACGGGCGACGGCATGGGCCCCTCACCTCTCGTTTTGGGGTACGTTTTACATAGCTAGCTTTTTGGCGAATACACTAGCCAATGACTTTAACTGACATGTGCGTTAGATATGGTCCGTTCGTTTCTCAGGAGACGGCCGAGAACTGGTAGCTGGAACTTCCAGTAGCGCGGTCGTTGTTTATGACATAGAGACCCGCAAGAATATCCTTCAACTACAGAGGCACACCGATGATGTCAATGCCGTTTGTTACGGTGATAGCATGTCACCCCACATCCTCTATTCCGGGTCTGATGATACGAATATTCGTGTATGGGACCGTCGGTCAATGGCGGATGGCCGAGCAGCCGGAGTCTTCATCGGTCACACAGAAGGTGTAACGTTTGTGGACAGCAAAGGAGATGGCCGCTATGTGTTATCTAACTCCAAAGACCAGACGATGAAGCTTTGGGACTTACGGAAAATGGCAACAGACCGCAATTCCATAGAAAACCGTCGCAATATATACTCAACTGGATTCGACTATCGGTTCAGCCCATTCCGGAAAGATGAATATACCCCCCATCCAGATGATTGTTCTGTCGTTACCTTCCACGGGCATGGAGTGCTTAGGACGTTGATTCGCTGTCACTTCTCACCAGCTGGAAGCACGAATTCAAGATACGTATATACAGGGAGTCAGGATGGAAAGGTCTATATATACAACCTTGACGCTACCTTAGCTAAGGTGATTGACGTTAGAGCAGCCACGCGTCACACCTGGGACGGCAAAGAGGGTACGCGCATTGGAACAGATCAACCCGTGAAGGCTTGTGTCAGGGATGCTAGCTGGCACCCTGATGCTCCTATCATAGCAGGTATGATTACCCCCCTTCTTCCCCGCGGGCCGTTTCTAGCATAACGCATTACCGCCTTATTTACGGTGTGCATTTTCTTGAATATGAATCTAACTTACGGCTCCTAGCTACGTCGTGGAATGGTTGGGGTAGGGAAGAAGGAACGTGTAGTGTTCACTCATGGGGCTTGTCAGAGGGCAACGGCACACATTTAGACTCCGAACTTCAACGACCGGACACACCTTCAGATGGCGGCTATGAAGACATGATAGAGGAAGATTTAAGAATTGCGGAAGAAATAAGAATGGCGGAAGAATAACCATGTCGAGAGGATGGGTAAAAGCTACCTAAGTCAATGAGTAACGGATATGATACGGCGTTCATAGGCGATGTGCCGCGTTCGGGGTTTTCAAGGATTATTTTTATTTCTTGAGGTAGCACTCAAAATCAACTAATAAGGGATTGACTCCCTCGAAGACACCGGGGTGTAGATATAGCGCACAAGCTTAGCCACTCCCCTCCTCTATCAACTGTATACGTAAAACATAAAAAACAAGACCGACTGTAGACGAAAATAATGACAAAGCCCCATTTCAGATTCCTAGACTAAAAACCTATAAACTCCATGTGATAACATAATTCACTGAGTTCGAGCCATTTAAACGCAGAAATAGAGATACCGTTTGCTCATTAACAAGGCAGAACAGAGAAAACACAAAAAGTAAACAGAGACCCAGGCCTTCGAAAAAGAAAAGAAATTGATGAAGCTCCAGCCCCCTGTCCCGCCTCCGCTTGAAGGGTGAAAAACCGTCGTATCTTCGTGGCGAATGATAAGGTTCGGCAAGGGGGTCGAGGCAGCCGGTTGCCGCGTTGGACGAAGATCAAAAATTGCATGGGTAAAAAGAAATATTGCGTTATTTAATACAGAAAGAGAAATCGCTGCATGGATGGTCCGGGGGGAAGAGGAGTCCAAGAGATTGCCGAACAACGGGGAGGCGTTGGGTAAATACCAACGGACGCTAAACGTCTTGTTCGCACGGTATTCGAGCCTCAATGCTCAGGGTTGCCCGTGGACTTTTTACTCCTGTCGAGTTCGTTTCACACCATGCGGGTTCCAGGCTCCGCTATCATTGCCACCGCCGCCAAAGAAGGCCGGGTTGAAATGAGGATTCTGGTTTTGGAAACCGCCTTGACCTGAATAAGTGTCAATTAGCAAAATGGGCCAGACGGAGTATGGCGTGAGAGGGAAATTAATTTCGCACCACTTGAAGACTTACCTTGCATTCCCATGTTGCCTCCTTGCATCCCACCCATCATATTGCCCATCTGGTTTGGCATCCCGCCCATGGGCATTCCGCCCATACCACCCATTCCACCCATACCTCCAACACCTCCCATAGGTCCGCCGACAGGCATCATGGGGCTAGTCATGCCACCACCCATTCCTCCACGGCCACGCATATTGGGGCCGCCTCTCATATTGTTCATCATTCCTCCACGGTTATTGAAACCTCCGTAGTTCTGCATACCTCCCATGGGCCCGCCTTGGAAGCCTCCGCCAACGGCGCCTCCCTGGAAGCCGCCGCCCATTGGAGAGAAATTTCTAGCACCACCGAAACCCATGTTCTGGTTCATGCCGCCGCGATTGTTGAATCCGCCACGGCCACCGCGGAATCCACCTGTGTTACCCATACCAAAATTTCCTTGGCCGCCAGCATTGAAACCACCGGTTGGTGTGGCTCTGGGGGTTCGATCATCCTTTCCGCCGCGCATTGGGTTCTCTTTGGGCAGGGTTCTGAATGGATTCACGTTAGGTTGAGTGTAGGCAACAGTATACTTTCTTGCTCCTTGCTGAGTGGTATTCATCTCTTCGATTTTATGTTTCGCCGCTGTAGCACCTTGTGGCGATGTAAATTCAACAAACGCTTGGCTATAAACGAATTAGTATCATTCTCAACCACTAGAGTAAATAAGGTTGAAATTGGAGCATACCCTTTACTCTTGCCATTCACCTTGTGCTCGCTGAATGTGACATCTTTGAGATCGTCTTCGACACCGGCCTGGTTTACCCATCCACGGACTTCGTCATCAGTTGTCCACCAGTGCAAGTCCGAAATATAAAGGGCAGATGTCGCATCCGGATCAACTTCCTTTCTTTTGACACCTTGCTGTGCTTGTTGTTGTTGTTGCTGCTGCTGCTGCTGTTGAGGTGCTGGGGGGTGCTGTGGTAGATTGTTCACCAGCTGTGGTGTTTCGGAAGCGGACTTGCCCGTCTTGAATATCTTATGGCTCTCGTCCATGTTGTTATTACTGTTGCCATACTTCTCATCGGATCCGTCCTCGTTCCCACCGGTTTGTTGGTTGTCTGGGGCATCGAGTACGAGTTCAGGTTCCTCTGTCTTAAAGGTTGTATCCTGGCCTTCATCAATTAACCCACTTCCATCTCCATAGATATCAATATCAAAGTTATCATCTTCAGTCGCCATTGCGATTTATTGTCTGGGGAGTTTGTTCTTTTTTTTTTTTCTTTAAGCTGAGAGCAATGATTTGATTTCTGTTCCTGATAGTTCGTTATGCACAGCTTTCTGGGGAGTTGTCTTGATTCGATGGGTTTCAAGAGTACAGGTCTGTCGAGCAGGGAGCCAAATTAGTAAGGAAAGGTACATTGTGTAAGATGAGGAGTCTGCGAAGCTGTTGTGGTAGTCAAAAGAGGCCTCAACCATTCGAGGCTCGTACCCCATTGTCTTCCAGGCCGCACACCGAGCGAATATAAAAAATGGCCATGAGAGAGGGTGAGGGTACAACGCAAGTGAGAAGAAATCAAAAGAGATACGTACAAATCCCGTCGGTTATAGTTTCAAAGGATGACACACACAAGACAAGATAACTGGCAGAAGCGAGATCTGCTCCGTTGAGCCAAATATAAAGCCCGACTGCCTTCGATGGCAAGTACAGGACAAAGGTTTCAAATTAACCACAGCGGTCTGTCACAGTAAGGGTTCCAACAGGAATAGCGCTTGTTCTCCACTGAGGAAGCTGATGAAGCTGAGGAAGCGAATGTGAGAGCAATGAGAGACCTCCTAGTAAGGACAGACGGGCAGAACAAGTTGTTAGATGGCCAGGGCAAGGGGGAGAGGGTTGAGGTGGTTAGTGTGAGCTCTGCAGGTAAGAGCCTCTCCTCTAGCTTAAGCTAGCAGCGTCTGCGTGCAAGATGCGCATAAACCAGCACTTCGACAAGCAGCTGGCGCGCACAACAGAGAGTCCGGTCGGTATCTGGCGATGAAGCGCGAACTGCGAGATGAGTGTCCTGGTGTCGAGATCTTGACGCGAAAGACGAAGAACGAGACGGACGTTGCGTAGAGCCCGGTCGCTCCAGATAAGGACTAGCGGGTGGCGTCACGTGGGAGACCGGATTAACTATCTTCCAAAGACCAGATCTCTACCTAACATCAAGAGATGAGCATAAGAAGAGAACAGAAGAGGCGACGACGACGACGACGACGACGAAGAGGATATAATACCAATCTAGACTCGGACAGATCTGACAATATCCATTGACGGCCGTGCTAATACACATACCAATTCGCATCAGTCGCCATGTCGGACGCCTTTCAGGAACTCGCTGACATCCCCAAGGACTTCGTCAGGGATGGAATGCTCTTCGTAAACCGATGCACAAAGCGTATGTCCTATGTCTCCTGTTGAGTCTGCTGCGGCCATAGAGCTTATACGGTTATCTCGACTAACACTCTTCTGATCATAGCCGATAAGCGCGAGTTCCTCAAGATCAGCCAGGCCGTAGGCTTCGGTTTCCTTATCATGGGAGCAATCGGATACTTCATCAAGCTGAGTTAGTCAAGACTCACGTCAAATACCAGTGAACAAATTGCTAATAGCACGTTCCCCATCTAGTACACATCCCCGTTAACAACATCCTCGTTGGAGGCGCATAATCACCCCTATTCCGCATCACCTGCCCATCAGCCCAATATACATCATCGAAACGAGAAATCGCAGCAAACCCGGTTCATTCACTTGACTTCGAATTGAAGAAACCCCTACCTACCTTCCCCGAATCTACCAAAAAAAACTCTTTGTCGTCGACATAGACAGAGTCCTATTGTTTAAAGCGAAATAACTCTTGGCGTGTTACGGATGGATGGTAAAATGGAGGCTACCGCTGGAGCTATTCCGACGTGATATCAACCCCAACGGAATGTTTTTCAAAACCTGCTTGGCGCTATATCACCTCTTTCGTCGGAACTAATTTCATTTTTTATTTTTATTCTTTGCTTTTCATGTAAATTATACGAATATACCTCCTTTTTACCTGATCATTACCTGATCATTACCCGATCGAACCGTTCATGTGCCATTGCATTCTCCAGCTGGTTCGAACGTTGCACCAGCTGATAGCTATTGGAGCCAAAGGCAGTCTGAAACATGGCTGACTGATGTAAAAGCAATTACAGAGTCGTCAGGGCAGGTCTTGGACGCTTGAAGCGCGGCTCCGGGAAAGGGAATAAGTTTTGCGCTCGCTCGACCACCTGAGGATTTTCCAAGCTAGTCTTGCCTCCTGAGAAACAGAGATACTGCTCAGCTGGTCAAACTTCATATATCCTTGTCTAGATCTAACCTCAAACAGGCATTGCAAGCTACGCAAATTGGACAAACTATTGGTTGATATACACGCTGACAATAACAGTCAACTACTCAGTACGGATGTAGCCGATCCCGCGATTCGAGAATCCCATATTAGCCTTCATATCAAGCGAGCTAGCATTGCGCCCAGGATGGTGTGAAAAAGGGCAGTACTTGGTTGGTGAAATGTTGGTAGAAGATCGTTGAGGGCCGCTACCAACCTAATTCCCTGCACCCTGTCTTTTATACCGTCTAGGACTCTTGGATGAAGCATAACATTCAAATAGTACGATGGCAGCTACCGTAGTTCTGACCGACGGCTTTTTGGATCTTGCTTTTGGAGCGAAATTAAGATTGTGTGTCTCAGCCTGTACCTCGTTGGCAATGGATAGCATCTTTCCCCAAGCCTTCCATAAACGCCAGCGCATCGACGGCCCAAACGCTAAAAAAATCTGGAATGATCACCCGCTGCTCACTGTCGCCAGCATTGTCGAGCTGATCACTTGACCATCTAGACATCAATGCGTGGCGTAAGTTCGGTCTCAGGGGAACTGATTCCGGAAACCCGCTGTTAATAGTTCAAGAGTCTCTCCTTCGGCCTACCGTGTGGCAGAAGGCGTTGGGGCCGTTCTTCAGGGAGCATGTACAGATTCCCATCAACCAGTTCCTTAGAATAGGCTACTCAAGCACGGAGTTCACCGTACCTGCGTCCTCGTTAGTTAGCGCATGTCACTGACCCAACGCCTCGGGGATAACGCGCGCATCTTAGACCGTCCTTACGCAAGTGACCATTGATCCATGATCGAACGACGTAGAACAAGAGGAGGAGATTGTCAGTGGCGCCGCCTCCCTTGGCCAGCAATATGCTTTGCATTCTAGCTCGCTTGCAGGGGCTGTCTTCGATATATTTCGCGCACTAGAAGAAAAGAACTAGTCCCGTCCAAGTTAACAGTCTGGACAGAGCGAGAGGGACCGTTTGTGACTGTATAATCTTCATCCAGTCTACAGATTGGACTTAGCGCAGACGCTATTCTGGTTCCAGTGGCGACGGGCGACGAGCTGGGCTGGGGTGTCCCTGTCTATATCTTCAATATCAACTCTCGCTGGGGATGTCTGGATCGGCAACTCAAGTGTCCACTGTACAAGGTTTATCTTCCGTTGTCCACCGTGAAGTTTAAAAGAATGGATCTGTTTACTTCGATAGACAGGATCACCGTATAGATAGTAGGGTCTGGTGTAGATAGTAGTGACATGTCGGGGTATGGTGACAGGTTGAAGTCGCCGGTTCAATCTCGGGATGTCCATGTCCAGGCATCCATGTCCAGGCTCGATCACCGCAGCACTGATGGTTCGTCTTAGAGCGATGCACAAGCCCGTAAACGCAGGGCCAACGAGAGAAGAAGACTATCAACAGGGAAAAACTTATTTAGTTTTCTCCTTCTGAGCAGGTAAAGCAGTATCCGAGCGTGGCACGGCCAGTGATCGAGCACTCCATACCAAGAGAACTGAGACGGATGGACGATGGGCGCCGGGCCTGCCTACTGAAACACGGAAGAAGGAAGAATATAGAGAAACCCCCATACCCCCACTCGGTTCGCAAGCCAGCCCAGGTAAGAAGAATGTTCGCATAGGCTTGCTGCTAGGATACGTACATGCAGCCCTGTGAATCGATCTCCTCAAGGGTCGAAGCAATTAGCGTCTAGCATCCCCCACGGCAAGTACGGAGTACTTTACAAAAATACGGAGCGTACGGCGCAACCATCACTAAAATACTCACTAGTAAGGGACGCAGAAATTCTCCGCCTGGTCGAGAATGGGATGAGGGCCAAGGCGAGGTTTGAATCTTTCACCTCCCTCCCACTGGCCGCCGAATGATACCGGCGAGTCGAACCCGAAAGCCGATGAATGCTCGGCCTCAAGATTAGACGTCGAGACTAAGGAATAAGAAAAAAAGCATCCCAACCCTCCAGCCTGCTCAGTCCTACCAACCTAGGGGGGGGGGGGGGGTCCGAGGGTGTAAGGTGGTCTCCACAGATAATATTAGTAAGAGGGTCTAATCATAGAAATGAAGATGTAGCAGAACAGAGGGCAGAGCTAAAAAAAGAAAGAGTTTCACCCTTTGACCATACTTTTTTTTTCCTTCGCCCGCAGCTAGCTCCTCGTACGTAGCCCTACGATTGATTTGATGGGGCGGGATGCTTGTGACTGTCACCGTAGTATATGTCCGCCGGAGTTAAGATTTGAAGCCAAAATGGTGAAACGGCGTGTGCTCGCAGTAGCAACGCCCGGCTAGCAAGCTACTATATCAGAGGAGATATAGGGTCGACCTGCACGGAGCAACTGGGCGGGAGGAGTGTGCAGGACGCCGCCCAGCTTGTTGGGAAGATGAACGAACTCGGATCGATGTAGGATCACAGGCTAGCTTGTAGTCTTTAGTGAGGAGGTCCTGTCGCCTTTTCTCATGTACCTCCGGACTCCGTGCAGAGTATACATGTACATGCGTTGCGGTGGCGACCATCGTGGAATGGACGAGGGCAGCTGAACTTGATATCGACGCCTGAGCTACCGAAGCCATCGTCAACAGCGGAAGACGGAAGATGTATCCGCGCACCCTTTCTGGGTCAAAGTGAAGCAAACCGTCGACATATCGTTCGTCGGTCTCTCGCTGACGGTCAGAGAACCAGCTTGAACCTCGGCTTGTAGGAGAGAGGTTGACGGCTCAACAAGCAGACGTGACGGCTTATTCACCGGCTATCTCATAGGCTAAAGATCAAACAGATCGTGAGATAATGCAGCCTTCAACGTCACCTTTTGACTCTTTTCTTTCCTTTTTCCCTGTTCGTTT